TTCTGCCATTAGAGTGGCAACATCTGCATATCTGAGGTTGTTGATATTTCTTCTGTCAATTTTGATCCTAGCTTGTGATTCATCCAGCCCAGCATTTTGGACTACTCTGCATGGAAGTTAAATAAGCAGGATAACAATATACAGCCTTGGTGTACTCCTCTCCCAATTTTGAACCGTTCTGTTCCATGTCTGGTTCTAACTGTTGCTTCTTGACCTAAATACAGGTTTCTCAGGAGACAGATAAGATGGTCTGGTATTCCCATCTCTTTAAGAGTTTTCCAGTTTCTTGTGATTCTCACAGTCAAAGGCTTTAGCATAGTCAATGAAGCAGAAGTAGATGTTTTTCTGGAATTCCCTTGCTTTCTACATGATGCACCAAATGTTGGCAATCTGATCCTCGGTTCCTCTGCCTTTTCTAAACCCAGCCTGTTCATCTGAAAGTTCTTGGTTCACGTACTGCCGAAACCTAGCCTGAAGGATTTTGAGCATAACCTTGCTAGCATATGAAATGAGTGCAATTGTACATTCAAAGAATGTTTGAACATTTTTTGGCATTTCCCTTTTTTGGGGTTGGAATGAAAACCGACCTATTCCAGTCCTGTGACTACTTCTTGCTGTTTACTTCCTCTGAATGCCCTGAAGACACTAGGAACCTCCACATTGTTAAAGCCAGTGGCACTTTGAATTGTTTTGTTACCTGTCTGCTCTGCATATGACACTGCCAACCAGCATCTCCTTTTGTTGGTAAATGTGGTATTGAGTGCTTGTTCTATGTCAAGTATAGTGCTAAGCTCTTTATATGTTATTAATTCATAAAATTCTCAAAGCAACTGTGAAGAGGTCATTATTGTTTCCTATCTACATGTAAGGAAACTGAGGCTCTTGCTTGTGGACCAGGAGCTAACAACAGGAAGAATCAAGTGGGAACCTTCCTAAATGTTCTTTTTCCTGGGTTTCTGTAGCCTCGTTTGTTCCTGGTTTTTCCTCTCCTCTCTTTGGCTCCTCTTTCTTTGCCTGCCTCTTAAGTGTGGTCATTTCTTAGGCTTGTTTCCTGATAGCTTTGCTTTCTCTCCCTTTCTGCAATTGCCCTGGGAAGTTTCATCAAATCTCCTTCAAATGGCTCTCAGATCTCCATCTCCCTCCTGGATACCTCTTGTGAGCCTTGGAACCACTTGTGGGGTTAGTCGCTTGTGTCTGACTCTTTGTGACCACATGGACTGTAGCCCGCCAGGCTCCTCTGTCCATGGGATTCTCCAGGCAAGAATGCTGGAGTGGGTTTTCATGCCCTCCTTCAGGGGATCTTCCCGACCCAGGAATTGAACCCGCGTCTCCTGTGTCTCCTGCACTGCAGGTGGATTCTTTACCGGCTGAGCCAGCAGGGAAGCCCTTGGAACCACTTACCCATCCACTTTCCTAGTGTCTTCTCTTGGGAAACCCTCTGTTCAACACACACTGGAATCACCAAGAAGCTTTTTAAAAAGATAGTAATGCCTGAGTCCCACTTCACAGAAACCGATTTAATTGCTTTGGGTTGTGTGACCTGAGCGTTACTATTTTTTTTTTCATTATGGTTAAAAACAGGAAATTTTATAACAGGAAATTTACCAAATTAACCATTTTTAGTATACAGTACAATAGCATTAACTATATGCATGTCATCGTACAACAGACCCCTATAGACTTTTTCATCTTGCAAAATGCAAACTATTAAAATAAATGCACTCTATACTCCTTGAGCAGCAACTCCTCTTCCCCCATCCTCCCAGACCCTGGCAACCACATTCTACCTTCTAAGAGTTAAGTTACTTTAGATAGCTTACATAGAAGTGGAATCATGCAATATTTGTCTCTTTGTGACTGGCTTATTTCACTCAGCATAATGTCCTCAAAGTTGATCCATGTTGTAGCATATGATGGGATTTCCTTTCTTTCAGCTGAATAGTATTCCATTGTATGTCTATATCACTTTTTTTTCTTGATGCCTTTTTTTTTTTCTTGTTGCCTTTTTGAAACATCATTGACATAAAACTCTGTAACTCTAAGGTGTGATGATTTGGTGCATGTGTATATTGTGAAATGATTGCCATGAGAAGGTTAGTTAACGCATCCATCCTCTCACATAATTACATTTTGTGCATGGTGCAAACACTGATGATCTGTCTTAGCAGCTTTCAAGTACACCATGGTATACACTAGATTCCCAGATTTTATTCTTCTTATAATTGGAAGTCTGGATCTTTGACCAACATCTCCCTGTTTCCCCCATGTCCTATCTCTTGGCAAAAATCCAATCTATTCTCTATTCTCTGAGTTTGGCTTTTTTAGATTCTATGTATAAGTGACATCAGGCAATATTTGTCTCTCTGCTTTATTTTGCTTAGCATAATGCCCTCAGGGTTCGTCTGTGTTTTTGCTAATGGCAGGATTTCTTTTTTTAAAAATGGCTGAATAACATATCATTCAATAGATATGTATACAATTTTGTCTTTATCCACTCATCTGTCAGCAGACACTTAGATTGTTTCTGTATCTTGGCTATTGTCAATAATGCTGCAATGAACATGAGAGTGCAGTAGTCTGTACAAAACTGTGATTTTGGTTCCTTGGGTATATAGTCAGAAAAGGGATTGCTAAAAAAAAAAAAAGAAGAGGGATTGCTAGATCACATGGTAGTTCTATCTTTATTTTGTTTTTATCAATATTTTTGTTGAAGTATAGTTGATTCACAATGTTAGTTTCTGCTATACAGCGAAGTGATTCAGTTATATACATGTAAAAAGTACTCATTTCCATTATGGTTTACCGTAGGGTACTGACTATGGTTCCCTGTGCTATACAGTAGGACTTCGTTGTTTATCCATTCTCTATATACAAGCTTACATCTGCTACTCTTAACCTCCCACTCCGTCGCTCTCCAGACTCTCTCCCACCGTGGCAACCACCGATCTGACTTCCATATCTGAGATTCTGCTTCATAGATAGATTTATTTGTGTCATATTTTAGATTCCGCACGTAAGCACTATCATGTGGTATTTGTCTTTCTCTTTCTGACTGACTTAATATGATTATCTCTAGTTGGATCCTGTTTTATATTTTTTGTAAAGATCCTCCATATGTTTTCCATAGTGTTTGCACTAATTTACATTCCCGCCAACAGTGCACAGGATTCCAGGCTCTCCACAGCCTCACTAACACTTTTTATTTCTGGCTTTTTGTTTATTTTTGATCCTAACAGGTACGAGGTGGTATCTCATAGTTTTGACTTCCATTTCCCTGATGATTAGTGATATTGAACATCTTTTCATGTGCTTATTGGCCATTTGCACATCTTTGGAGAAATGTCTATTCAAGTTCTCTGCCCATTAAAAAAAAAATTTACTATTTATTATTTTTGGCTCCGTTGGGTCTTTGTTGCTGTTCATGGGCTCTCTCTGGTCGAAGAGAGCCGAGACTCCTCTCTGTTGTGGCGTGCAGGCTTCTCACTGTGGAGGCTTCTCTTGTTGGGGAGCACGGGCTCTAGAGCGCATGCTCACTAGTTGTGGCGTGCAGACTCCAGAGCGCATGCTCACTAGTCGTGGCGTGTGGACTCTAGAGCGCATGCTCACCAGTCGTGGCGTGTGGACTCCAGAGCGCATGCTCACTGGTTGTGGCCTGCGGTCCTCACAGCACGTGAAGTGTTCCGGGAGCAGGGATCGAACCTGTGTCCGCTGCACTGACAGGTGGATTCTCAACACTGGACCACCAGGGAAGTCCCTGCCCATTTTTAAATTGGGTTATTTGTGGGGTTGGTGTTGTTATTGTTGAGTTGAAGGAGTTCTTTTTATATTCTGGACATTAACCCCTTATCAGATAGGCGGTTAGTAAATATTTTCCCCCATTCCATAGGTTGCCTGTTCACTCTGTTGTTTCCTTTATTGCCCAGATGTTTTTAAGTTTGTAGGGCCATTTGTTGTTTTTACATTTGCTGTCTATGCTTTTTGCTTTTTGTGTTATATTCAAGAAATCTGCCAAATTCAGTATCATGAAGCTTTTTTCCTCTATATTTTCTTCTATAAGTTTCAGGTCTTACATTTATGTCTGTAATTCATTTTGAGTTCATTTCTTTAGGTAGTGTAAACTAAGGCCCAACTTCATTCTTTTTCATGTGGGTGTTCAATTTTCCTACCACCATTTGTTAAGGAGACTTTTTTATTTTGTAATATTTAGGAATAAACTTAAGTAAGTGGGATTGCTTTCTTGATTTTCACTTCATATTGTTCATTGTTAATGAGTGAAAACGCGAATGCTTTTCTGTGATTTGATTTTGTATCCTGCAATTTTGCTAGCAGTTTTTTCTGTGGAACCTTTGGTGTTTTCTACATATAAGATTATGTCATCTGTGGACAGAGATCATTTTACTTCCTCCATTCCAATCTGGAAGCCTTTTCTTTCTTTTTCCTGCCTAATTGCTCTGTCTAGGACTTCCAGGACTGTGTTGAATAGAAGTGGCAAGATTCCTAATCTTCAAAGGAAAGCTCTCAGCTCTTCACCATTGAGTATGATGTTAGCTGGAGCTTTTCATATATGGCCTTTATTTTATTGAGGTAATTTCCTTCTATTCCTAGTTTATTTGAGTGTATTACCTCTTGACCAGACTATTAGAATAGTTGAGTAGCTTGTCTTCCTGCCTGCTGTGCTTTCTAATATCTCCAAGCCACAGAGCGTGTAGAAATAGCCTGGGGGAATTAGAACCAGCCACCTGAAGGGAAGCTGGAGTGTAGGGGGTGGGCAAGCAGCACGTGGCCTGCTGCTTTCCTGCTCGGAACCAGGGAAGCCAAGAGCTGTGGAGTCGAGCTTTCCTCTAGCCTCATGAGGACGCTATCCCTCAGGCCCCGCCCCTCAGGAGCCTCTTGCCCCACCCACAGCCCCTTTGGCCCCGCCCCATTCCCCCCCCCCCGCCCCCCTGCCCTTCCAGCCCCCTGCCCCTGCCCAAGAGAACCTCGCATTATTCAACTTTCAGCGCCCTGGGAGGAGGATGAGATCCGCAGGGACCGAGTGGAGCCCCAGAGTGTGTCTCTGTCGTGGCGGGAACCTATCCCCGCGGGAGCCCCAGGGGCCAACGGCACCGAGTATGAGGTCAGATATTTCGAGAAGGTGAGTCTGGGTCTGGGAGGGACCTGGGGTTGTATTGCCACCTGCGATCTGTCCCCCTCTTCTGCCGGCTTCCTTTTCTTTACAAGCCCCTCCCAAAGTAAGTCCTCTTTGCTTTGTCTCTAAACGTCTCCACTGGCCCCCTAAGCGGCCTCCCCAGCTGGAGTTTCTTCCTAGCCGCCCCTCACCGTGGACACACAGCTCTCGCTCTTTCCTCGGGTCTTCTTTCGGTAACCCGTCATCGTGTCCATTTTCACCACTAATGCCTGGTGTTTACAGTTGACAAAAAGCTTCCTCTGGGGGCTGATCCAGACTTTCTGTGGCTGGATTCTGTGCATAGTTTGCAACCCTTTTAAGAAAAAGAACACAGAGACATATTGTTTCAAATTTTATGGAAAAGTACCGCTGTGGGAATATGTTGCCAGGTCTGGTGGTGCGCCAGAGCTCAGCATAAATAATATGCTGATAAATAAAGTACTGATAAATGTCTAACAGCCAGCTCTCACAGCAATGAATGTAGGCATTCACATTTTAATTTTACTGATGTGGAGACTGTGTAACCAATCATTTACAAATACTAATAGGAAGTATACAATGTTCCTTATTGTAAACTCTGTAGGGCCAGTTGATTCTCCTAGGACACTTTTTCTTGATTTTGGCTGACTTCTTGTATCTGTGATCAGTCTATAGTTGCAGATCAAGGGTGGTTTAACAAGTGGACTTAGGTCCAGATCCACTATCTCTTTTCTGCATAAGTTTATTGTCTTTGAATTTGATAGGTAATCTACAGTTAAACTGTTCTCACTCTGGTGCGAGTTGTATTCGTTAAAGCAAAACTTTGCTTTCAGTTTAGCACTGCATGTGTTAGAATTTCACTCCCTCCTCAGTGACTCCGGGGAGTTCTTTGCTGAATCAGATAACAGATTTTGAAAAGAGAAATCTGGAGAGCTGAGAGAGAGAGAGAGAGGAAGTTGGGGGCTTTCAACCCAGAGATAGTAGCTGAAGCCAAAGGACCTGAGGGGATGGCCAAGGGAGGGGGGCTTGAATGAGAGAAGCGGCTGGGACAGGGTTCTGGGGGTCCCTGACGTCCAGGAGACCACAGCAAAGGTCACTGGGAAGGAGCCAAGCAGGCAGCAGTTGCTGAGAAAGGGCTCACTGAACTGACACTCGGGGATCAGAGCATAGATGCAGTCCCAGTGCTGAGCTGGGTGGACGCTCCCTGGCCCACAGGGAGTGTGAATTTGCTGGGAACAAAAACCCTTGAAAAGAGGAGCCAGTACAAAAGGGGCTGTGTTTGAAAGGCTTCAGGAGCCTGACGACCAGAAGCGTGGCAGGAGTCACCAGCCCCTCATCTCTGAGTTCTCTCCATACCAACCCCACCTCCTCTGCAGGGAGGGTTGTTCCTAGCACCTTGCAGCCGCCCAGGCTGGCAGCCCCTTTTCCCTTCCCCTCCCCAAGCCTGCTTATAAGTTCTGCAGCCAGGGCCTCACTGTCTTTCCATGGTATGTTCAGGGGCCCAGAAGGGAGATTCTGATTGGCCCAGCTTGGGCCAGAGTCTGCCCTGATTCCTGAATACTGGGACCGTAGAAGTGGGGCCACAGGTATAGGGGAGATGCACCTTTGGGGGCTGTGAGTGTGGCAGGAGCTCTAATCAAGGGGTGTGTGCAGAGATGAAATGATGGCAGCATGTCCAGCACGCACCATTATTGGATGTGTTGGGGGCAGGATGACATAGTGCACAGAGCACAGGACCTAAAGGAATTGAGAAGGTGTCTCCCCGCCCCTTCCCTGATGGGAGCATCTCCTATACAAGGAGATAGGAATGCTGGTGTGAGGACTGGAGGAAGTCGACTCCTATAGGGTCTAGCCCAGAGGCGGGCAGTGAATGGGCCCATGGTGGGGGGCCGTGGGTGAGCCTCTCAGCCCCTCTGATCTGAATTCCTTATCTGTGAATCCACACCTTGCAGGACATTGTGAAAAGAAAAGCCAACAAGGGCCGGGTGGGTGTCAGGGCTCATTTCCTTCTTCTATCCTCTGAGGGGTCAGGTGTAGCTCCTCCTCTAGACTGTCAGGCCCCAAGGACCTTCATCCTAGCATCCCTGAGAAGGCCAGCATCTTTTCTTATTCGGAGGTGGGGCTGTTCTCAGTTAAGGTACCACCGAGTATAGGTGGAAACTCGTGGTGGAGAAAGGGGCTGGGGATATTCTGGAAGAAAGCTGTGTGATTCCCCCCAAGATGAGTGGAGTTATTCCAGCAGCCCCGGCTCCTCCTCTCAGGGTACCTCTGCCACCTCCCTACCCCTTCCCCCCACATTCTCCCAGGAGCATGGGGCCAGCCCTGGGTCTGGGCCTCATGTGTCTCTGTCCCTCCCCAGGGTCAGAGTGAGCAGACTTACTCGACGGTGAAGACAGGGGCGCCTGCGGTCACTGTCACCAACCTGAAGCCGGCTACCCGCTACGTCTTTCAGATCCGGGCAGCTTCCCCAGGGCCCTCCTGGGAGACCCAGAGCTTCAACCCCAGCATTGAAGTGCTGACCCCAGGGGAGGGTAAGTGACACGTGCAAGAGGAGAGAAAACCCAGCCTGGGGCTGGAGCAGGGAGGCAAATTGAGGGGTTATCTGTGCAATTAAGGGAAGCTGCAGAACAGTTCGGTTACAACCTAACGAATGAATGAGACTGGAATCCAGTAACTATGGCTTAGATTGGGTACCCGTCCTGAAAGAACTCAAAGAGGAGGGATCCATGAACAGCTGGAACCCAGGTCTCAGCTGGTGTCTCCCTCCCATGTCTTGAGGACATATCCTCTGCCTCTCCAAGATTCCTCTCTTTTCTTGGGAGGACATTCGTTTTCCTGGTCACTTCTTGTCCTCGACCACTAAATTCTTGTTCCCATCCTGCTGCTTTCTCTCTGTTGTGACACAGACTCAAACATGGGCACTGTCCCTCTTCCCACTGCGCCTTAGAGTGTGAAGCCGAGGGGTCAGCCCAGCTTACCCTCTGGACTGCCAGGCCCTGATGTCCATCACCCCAGGATCCAGCCTTCCCTGAGGGTTGGGGCACACCAAGGGAGTGTCACCTGCAGCAATAAACCAAACGAAAACACCAGAAGTGCTTAAGACTCCGAGCTTTCACTGCTAGGGCCTGGTTCAACCCCTGGTCAGAGAACTAAGATCCCACAAGCTGCGTGGTGTGGCCAAAGGCAAACAAACCAACAAAACACCAGGAGAACTGCACACTTTCAATGGGCGAATTGTATGGTGTGAGAATAATTTCTCAATAAAGTTGTTATCAAAACAAAGCAAAACAAGAACTGAACATCCGATATTCCTGATCCTAAAACAGTTCCAGCTCTTGGCCATGGTGCGGTACCACCCCTCCTCCCCTGGTTTCCCTGCCCTGGTTCCTCCCCCCCACCCACCCCCCAACTCCCCAACCCCCCAGGACCCTTCCTGATGTGCACAGAGCATCTAGTGCTTTCTTTTGGTCTCCTGCCACTAACCCAGCCCTCAGGATCTCACCTCTATCTACCACGAGCAGCTCATGAAAGTATTTTTCCTGGACAAAAGGCAGTTTGCCGTAAGAGGCATCCTGGCACCAGGTGTCAAGATAATAATTCTTTCCAACCTGCTACACGAGTCGAATCCAAGATAGAAAGAGTTCTGAGCCCAGAGGGAGGTGGAGATAAAGTGTTGAGGGAGTTTGCCTTCTGGGGAGGAGACAGCACTTCTTGCTCGAATGCCTGTCTGTGCCAGACCCCAGCCAGGTGCTGGTGAGAGGGGATTAGAGCTGGGTCTTGAAGGCTGGGGAACGTTGGAGTTCTTCGTGGGGAGGTGGGCCGGGAAGGCATCTTGGAGCGTGAGAGGCATCAGAACAGAGGCTCGTGAGCTGGGCTGGAGTGGATGTGGTGGAGGGTGGGCGCTGGGGGCCGGTAGTTGAAGAGGACTGATGAGTTCTGTTAATCTGGTGCTTCTCTGTCAGTGGATCCCTGGGTCTGGAAGATCCCCTGGAGAAGGAAATGGCAGCCCACTCCAGTATTCTTACCTGGGAAATCCCTTGGACAGAGGAGCTTGGCGGACTGCAGTCCATGGGGCCACAAAGAGTCGGACCCAAATGAGCTACTGGGCGCACACAGTTGGTAGAGCACTGAGTCGGCTGTCAGAGTCAGAGTTGGCTGAGCACACACGCTGCTCAGCGCCTGGCCTCCTCTGCTGTGGCCCTGGCTACAGAGAGCTGTTCCCCAGTCGCAGAGCCCTTTTTCCAGTGAGCTGTGACCCCAAGTCAAGATCACGAGGAGGACCATGCTGCACCGCTATACTAGTTAAACCACTATTGTGCAGCAAATTACCCTCAAAATCAGCAGCCAAAAACAACCTTCATTCATCATCTCATGGTTTCTGTGGGTCAGGAATATGCACATGGCATAGCTGCGTGCCCCTTGGGTAAGGCCCCTCACTGCAGTCCAGGTGTCCTCTAGGGCTGCGATCATCTCCAGGCTTAACTGGGGCGGAGTGGAGGGGACTTGAGGGAAGGAGTGTGTGCTTCCCTATTTGGGCTCTTGCTGGCTGCTTGCTGGAGGCAGGCACAAGATTTCTAGGCTTCTCCAAGAGCTGCTTATAACCCAGCAACTAGATTCTTGTAGAGACTGTGAGAGAGAGAGGGAGCAAGAGGGCGCCCAAGACAGAAGCTGATCTCTTGTAACCTAATCATGGTGGTGACATCCCATCACTTGTGCTGTATTTTGTTCATTAGAAGTGAATGACTGTGTTCAGCCCATGCTCATGGGGGAAGGAACACCAGGGTGTGGAGAATCCTGCAGGGCCATCTCAGAGGCTGCTGGCCACACCGATTTTCTCTGCATCCTCCAATTCCTTGTCCACCAGGGCAGCTCATTTCAAACAGTCCTTGGCAACTGTTCCGTCTTCTGCCACCAGCCAGGCCCGGGACCCTGTTCCCCATCTCTGAAATCTGTTCTTTGACCCTGACCTTGTTGGCCTCTGACCCTCCCTTTCTCTCCTGTCGCTCTTCCTCACTTGCTGTGTGGCGTCCTAATAGCAGCTGTTGGGATCTGACCACATCTGTCGGGCTCCCAGCCCCTCCTGGCCCCACGATCATCTCTCCCCAGCCTCTGTGGACTCTCCTGGCTGAAGCGCTCTTCAGCCCTGCTGGCTTCCATTCCCCAGACATTATTTTGCACCCACCCCACTGTCCCCAGGACTGGATCTCCTCTATCATCCCTTGCCAAGGCTGCCTGCTAAAGTGTCTTTTTCTTTTTTATTATTTGTATTTTTAAAGTGTCTTTTTCTAATCCCAGTTTATTCATCAGGGCTGTGTAGCATCTTTCCCATTCCTGACAGTTATCCCAAACCTTTATCTCTTCCAAGCACCCCCTCTCCCTCCCCACTCCTGACCCAGCAGATTCCCTCATTCCTCTCCTTGTGGGAAGGAACTCTGTCCACTGCTCTGGGCTCCCTGATACTCTCAAGATAAAGCTCACCCTCCTGGCCTAGCAATCAAGGCCGTTCTGGTTCTGTCTCCTCCCCCAGTTCCCTTCATCTTCCTGCCTTCCAGCTTTATCTCTTCATATCTTGCATTTCTGCCTCCGTGCAGCCTGCTTTCCAGCCACATGGGATTCCCTGTTGTTTCTCCAGACCCAGCAAGTGCATCTAAGCATCATCAACAACCCTGTCCATCTTCCAGGTCCAGTGCAGATGATGCCTCTTCTGCAAAGCCTTCCCCATTGGCTTTAGGAAGAAGTGATTGTGCCTCTGCTCAGCTCTGCTCCTGTTTCTGTTTCTTTTTTCCCATTGATTTTTCATTTCTGTCTCCCCTGCTGGTCGGTACACCCCTCCAGGGCAGGGATTCTGGCTCATCCATTGCTGACTCCCCAGGACCACTGCCAGCCTGGCACATGTGTTGGATGGATGGATGAGTGGATGGGGCTGAGGGCCTGGGGTCCTCTTGGCTCCTCTGCTGGAGAAATAGTTCAGTGCAGAGGCTTTGCGAATCAGGCTTGAATCTTAGGGTCACTGTTTATTGGCTTTGTGACCTTGGGCAAATTACACAACTTTTCTCGATGTCAGTTTTCTCAGCTGTAAAATGGGGACAGTTCACTTTCCTGGCTTCTTGTGATGATGAAACAGGATTGTTTAGTTATGTCATATAAGTGTGCATTAAATGTTAATTCATCATTATTATTGTTAGAGAGGATGAGGTGTTTAGGTAGCTTCACTGGCTCAATGGACATGAATTTGAGCAAACTCCAGGAGATAGTGGAGGACAGGGGAGCCTGGGTGTGCTACAGCCATGGGGTTGTAAAGAGTCGGACATGACTAGCAACTGAACAACAACAAAAATTGTTGATGGCAGTTCTGGATTGGGGTTGGGGAGCTCGGAGAAAAGGCCATGGCCCTGCAGAGCCACTGTCCTTGTGCATCTATAAGGCAAAAAGGAAGGCCCGAGTCTGCCTGTCTGGACGCCCGCTCCTCTCTCTCAGAGCTGGGCTGCAGTAGGAGTGCCCCGCCCTGGGAAAGGACGAAGCTCCAGGTGCCACTGCAGTTGGTGGGGGCAGCCTTGGTCCCTGGCCACTGGCCACTGGGAGGCCGGGCCGAGGGTGGAGGTGCTGTGGAAATCCTGCTATGGGGTTAGGACAGGCATCTGTTCTGGGGCTTACCCGGGAGCCTGGTCCTCTGCCTCTCTCAACCTCGTGGTTTTCCTCCCAGCCACCACCGGGTCCAAGGACCAGAGCCCCGCGGTCGTCGTCACCGTGGTGACCATCTCAGCCCTCCTCGTCCTGGGCTCTGTGATGAGTGTGCTGGCCATTTGGAGGAGGTAGGTGACTGGTCCCAGCCTGGCTGTCCCCTGGCGGGCTGTGTCCCTGCCCTCAGGTGCCTGTATCTGTATCTGCATTTGCACACGTGCGGATTTGCCCCGTGGGAGCATACTGCCATGTAGAGACAGGCCTGACTGGTGCTGTCCTGGCTCCTCCCCCCACGCCCTGCTCCTGCTCAGCTGCTGTGGGATGAAGGGGATTTAGCTTCTTCACTCATTAAATGTCAGAAGGCATCGCTGCGGAGCGAATCAAGCTCCGGCTGCTCCGGTGTGATTGGGAGCCTCCTGAGGCGCTCAGAGGCCCCCAGCCCCTGCCCCCAAGGGATCTGGAGGCCCTTGAACACAGGCAGAGGGAAGAAAGGCAGAAACTGTGTGTGTGTGTGTGTGGGAGCAGGGAGAGCAGGGAGGGGAACTCATATGCCAGAAACCCCCAAGCCCCAGAGGAAGGAAGCTGGCAGGAGAGTGGGCAGAGAAAGGGGATGGGCAGAGGGGGAAAGATATGGAGCTTGGATCAGGCTCAGCAAAGATAGAGTCCCTCTGGCGGAGGCACCCCAGGTGGGTTCCAGGCTGGGGCTGAGGTCGGCAGACTGGAGGGGTTGGGAAGGCTGCATGTGACAGGCTGGAGTAGGGGGAGAAGAGAAGAGGCATGAGCTGGTCTGGGAGCCACACGTCAGCATCCTGGAACTGCCTGCGGGCCGGAGGGGCAGCGAGCTTTCATCTGGTTCAGATGGGATTATTTGCTTGGCCTTAAGTGAGGCACTGAAAGTGACTGAGGAGGAGAGGATCTGGGAGCCAGCTCTGCCCTGGCCAGGTGAGTCAGGAAAGCAGGACAAGAGTAGAATATCCTTGATCACGGAGCTTAAAGGTCCATAGATGAGACCCGTTAGAAAAGCGGGAATGGACAGGAGCTGGGAGCAGCTTGTTTTGGCCGTGAGCTCAGGAGAGGATGAGGGAGAGGTGAGCCAGAAGGGCATCTTTGGGCAGAGGCTGCAAGACAGGAGTGGCTGCCCAGGAGCACCTCGGAGACCGCTGCACTAGAGCAGGCGGGGCAGGCCAGGCATGGATTTCAAAACTTACTCAAAATCAAATGGCACCAACATGGGAATCTGCCAGGTATAGCACTGATGGGCAGGGACACACGTCTCCAACACGCATGTCCCAGCGTCCCTCGCCCATCTCTTCTGCTCCCCATCTCTGCAGTACCCGGCTCTGTATAGTGGGCTCCTCACCTCCACTTGCCCTCCCAGTCGATCCTGGCTCACCCCAGTTCTCACCAGGGGGTGCCATCATCAGGTGGAACTGTCTCGCTTTCTCTGCCACTTCTCCAGCCACCCGGCCTTGCCCCCTGCACCCCTCCTCAGCTCTCCCGGATGTTCATGGAAGTCCTGTTCCCAGGCTGGATGACCTCACTAGCCATTGGACAACCTGCCCCAGCCCTTGGCCTCTGGGGCCTTTGACTTCATTTCCACAGGCCCTCTCTCCTGTCTCCTGGGCCATCACCCCAGTTCTGCTTGTGTCCTGCAGACTGCCGGTCCTCACGGCTCGCTCTCTCAGCGGTGTCTGCTGCACCTGCTCTTTACCTGCACCGCTGAGTCTGCACACCTGCCTATCTCTGCATCCGTCCTCTCCCTCCGTTTCTCTAGAGGAAGTGCCATCCTCCTGGCTGGGATCAGTCCTTCTACCTGAGGCTGTAACCACCCCTTCCTGCCTTCTCAGGAGCTCTTACTGTTGATCACGTCCACTTCTTCCCTGTATGCTGGCTGACATTTGTTGAGTGCTTAGTAAGCTCTTGGCGCCAGTGTGATCAGGCAGGGCTGTCTTGATCCTCATCTTATTAAAGAGAAAACCAGCCATCTGGTCTGCAAACAGTGAGGGAAGGTCCTAGGAGCTGGTCCATGCCATCAGGTTCCAGAGCCCATGCGGGGGACCGCCGTCATGACCACACCATCCTGCATGATCGCTTCCGCTGGTATCGACACATGGCCATTTCTCTTGAGTCTCCCTCACCTCTCCTCCTTGAGTCTTCACATGACCTTCTCTTCTGATGCTGTTTCCTTCCTTGCTTCCTGTGACATCGCCGCCTCCCTGCCACCCCCCATTTCCCTCCTATTTCCCTCCAGTTTCTCTGGTGGTCTTTCACAGTCTCCTCAGCGGCTTCCTTCTCTGTTGTGCTGTTAGTCACTCAGTCCAGTTCTTTGTGACCCCATGGACTGTAGCCCACCAGGCTCCTCTGTCCATGGGATTCTCCAGGCAAGAATACTGGAGTGGGTAATGGTTCCCTTCTCCAGGGGATCTTCCTGACCCAGAGATGGAACCTGGGTCTCCTGCACTGCAGGCAGATTCTTTACCATCTGAGCCACCAGGGGAGCCTTCCTCTCCTCTTCCCTATCTCTAGATGGTGGGGTCCTCAGACTTGTCACCTTTCCCACTTCTCAGGTTCCCTCCTCTCGCTGGACAATGCCCCCAGCTCCAGAACTTGTATCTCCAGAGCAGACCCTTCTAAATGGCCCCTGCCACCCGCACCCCCACCACACATAGCTAACTCCCTGCTCACTGATCAGCCCTGCTTATCCCAGAGGTGCTGTGAACTCAAATGTCTAGACAGGAACTTGTCGTCGTTCCATCTTGGTAAATGGTACCTGCCTGACTTCACTGGGCAAGCCGGAACACTACCGTGGTTCCTACCTTTCCGCTCTCCTTTTCTGACCTCTAGCCTTCCCCAAGCCCTGTGGCCCTGTCACCTCAGTGTCACTCTTACTTTTCTCCATCCATGATCACCCCATAGCCTGAGCCATCTCCTGCCATCTCCCGCGGGGACAGTAGCAGCAGCTGGGATGATCTTTCTAAAGTGCGAATTGAACCGTGGTATCCCCCTGCTCAAACCCGCCTCCCCTGGATGTTCTCCTCTTCCCCACCGCCAGAATAAAACCAAAGTCTTTATGTGGGCCTGCAGGACCCTGCCTCAGGGGGCCCCGGATGCCAGCCCATGGCTTTGTTGATGGTGATGCAGTCCTTTGGCCCGCGGTGGCCTCTCTCTCGAGAAGCCGTCCTTGATGGTCTCAAGCCTGTCTCAGTACATGATCCCACAGTGCACTGCCCTTCTCCTTTGCTTGGACCTGTGAGTGGGCTTGTCGTTCCTTCTCAAGGTCTGTTTTCTTCACTAGACTGGAAGCTGCCCGTGGGCACAAGGCCTGCCTGTTGTGTTCAGCTGTAGGCAGGGAGGCAGCTTGGGCTTGAAGTCTCTGAATTTGCAAGAATTCATGGAGTCTCAAAGTGAAAGTAACTAGGAATGCGGAGGGGGTGAGTGGTTAGGTCTGGGGCTGGGGTTACATGTGTGCTGGGGGGAGAAGCTTCCAGACCCGCAGGACGAGAAAGTCCCTCCCCTGGGGCACAGACCCTGTCCTTTTGGGACAAAGAGGTGCTGCCCTGGGTGCTGGTGAGATGGGAAGGGCTGGGACAGCCTGGCTCAAAGGATGACTGTGGACACCCTCACTCCCATCCCCTACCCCAGGCCCTGCAGCTATGGCAAAGGAGGTCGGGACGCCCACGATGAGGAGGAGCTGTATTTCCACTGTGAGTTGTCTGGGCCTGGCCCGGGGCGGGGTGGGCACCACCTCACCTTACTTCCTCAGTCCTCTTCCTGACTCCCCTTGCTTCAGTTCAGTTCAGTTCAGTCACTCAGTCATGTCCGACTCTGCGACCCCATGGACTGCAGCACACCAGGCTTCCCTGCCCATCACCAACTCCCAGAGTTTACTCAAATTCATGTATATTGAGTCGGTGATGCCATCCAACCATCTTATCCTATTGTCCTCTTCTCCTCCTGCCTTCAATCTTTCCTAGTATCAGGGTCTTTTAATGAGTCAGTTTTTTGCATCATGTGGCCAAAGTATTGGAGTTTCAGCTTCAGCATCAGTCCTTCCAATGAATATTCAGGACTGATTTCCTTTAGGATGGACTGGTTGGATCTCCTTGCAGTCCAAGGGCCTCTCAAGAGTCTCCTCCAACACCACAGTTCAAAAGCATCAATTCTTTGGTGCTCAGTCCTTGCATACCTCCCCCCCACCGCCCCCCACTGCTCCAACTGCAGAGGCCCTTTTCCTCACTCCCATCTCTTTCTCTTCATTGCCAGTCAAAGTCCCAACTCGCCGCACATTCGTGGATCCCCAGAGCTGTGGGGACCCACTGCAGGCCGTGCATCTGTTTGCCAAGGAGCTGGATGCAAAAAGCGTCACGCTGGAGAAGAGCCTTGGAACAGGCAAACTGGGCACCCGGGGAAGCCTTGTCTGTGGGGAAGCCCTGCCTCCACCCCCTGCCAGCCCTCCCTGGAAGCCCCTCCTCCACCCCACCCCACCCCACCTCTATCCTGTTAGCCTGCCTCCACCCCAAGTCCTGTCCCCATCTCTGCAGGCCTGGCCTTCATCCAGTCCCCATGCTGTCCAGGAAGCCCCCGCCTCCACATCAAGCTGGGCCTCTGCCCACAGGGTCCAGGGAGGGAGGTGGCAGAGGAATCTGTGACCCTGCCTTCCTCCCCTTTGCCTGCCCCCAAGGTCAGAACTCTCTCCCTTCAGGCCCTTTCAGGGCTGGCTCTGCAGACTGCCACTGGCTGAAGTTTGGTCCCAGGCTTTCAAGGCCCGATGGGGAGGGGCGTTTGCAAGCTTGGGGTCCAGGCATACCTGAGTTCTAGCCCTAGCTCTGCCACTGCTTCATGACAGATGGGCTCATCCGTCTTCTGCTCTGAACCTCAGTTTCTCATCTGTTAAATGGGCATGATATCTGCCTCAGAGCTGTTGTGGGAGCGTCCCAGCACTCAGCCCAGGGCCTGGCGCCTAGCGGGTGCGTGCTCTCTCACGATCAGTGCCCTGGCTTCCTTGCTTCACGTCTGCAAGCCCTCCGCCCCTGTGCTGAGATGGCAGCGCTTTCACCAGGAGCCCAACGCTCTGTGCCGGCACTGTCGGCAGATTCTCTGGGCAGAGGCCAGAAAGGGGCAGCGTGGTGTAATAGATGTCATGGTCACCCAGCACGCCTTTGATGTGTGGGCACGTGCATAGTCCTCTCTTGGAGGATTTGAAATTTCCCACCGAGGGAGGCAAGGAGGACTTCCCATTTCACAGAGGAGAAAACTGAGGCCAGAAGAGGGGCAGAGCAGAAGTCCACATCAGGCGGTCAGTACTCAGTTCACCAGGATTGAACTCAGGAGGCCCCAGTCCTAGGCCAGAAAAGGCCCGTGAGCCAGAAGCTGCTCACCCTGCCTGGGTTGGCCGAGGCAGCGGCCTCCGGGGGGTGTCTGAGGTGCTGTTCTCCCCCAGGGCGGTTTGGGGAGCTGTGCTGTGGCTGCCTGCAGCTCCCAGGCCGCCAGGAGCTCCCCGTGGCTGTGCACACGCTGAGGGAGGGCTGCTCCGACTCGCAGAGGCTCAGCTTCCTGGCCGAAGCCCTCACCCTGGGCCAGTTTGACCACAGCCATGTGGTACGACTGGAGGGCGTGGTCACCCGAGGTAGGGCTGGTGCTCCACCAGTGTGGGTGGGTGGGTAGGGGAGGGGCCCACGGTGTGGGAGGTGAGGTGCGCCGCGCCCCCAGGCCCTCTCTGCTCAGTCATGGGAGGGCACCCCGACGCGGCCCAGCATGGGGAGAGGAGCTCAGGTCTCCATCACTGACTCACGTGGCCTCTGACCCTGCGTGATCTCTGGATGCATGGTGACACTCTGGGGGTGCATCCCCGGTGATGTCCCCTGGCTTACTTGCTGCACATCCTCACCTTGGCCTTTGTCCCCCCCCAGACGCCACCTCTCCGGCTGTTTAGCAGAAGGGGGCAGGCAGGAGGTGGCGAGACTCAGGGAGCTGGGCCTCGGTCCTGGCCACCTTGGCGCGAGGCAGGGAGTGGGGAGCATGTGTGCTCACAGAGGGCAGCAGGCACCTGAGCGTGTGTGTCCCCCTCCCTGACCACAGGAAGTACCTTGATGATTGTCACCGAATACATGAGCCATGGGGCCCTGGATGGCTTCCTCAGGGTGAGTGGCCTGGGCCCCAGGGGGTACCGATGACTGTGGTTCTCTTGGTCCCTCACTTTTCCCTTTGGTGGAACTTGGGGTCGGCCTCATCCTCTGTAGAGATGCCCTCTGGCCAGGCTGACCTGGCAGGTGACGCGGCCTGACCGAAGCCCAGAGCAGGCCAGTGAGTTCTCTGGGGTCACACAGCACCAGGGAAGCGAGGGTGCAGCCGGGCCTCCGTCTCCTCCCTCCCAGCGGCATGAGGGCCAGCTGGTGGCTGCGCAGCTGATGGGGCTGCTGCCCGGCCTGGCGTCGGCCATGAAGTACCTGTCAGAAATGGGCTACGTCCACCGGGGCCTGGCGGCGCGCCGGGTGCTGGTCAGCAGCGAGCTCATCTGCAAGATCTCTGGCTTTGGCCGGGGCCCCCGGGACCGAGCAGAGGCGGTCTACACCACCATGGTGAGGGAGCCCTCCCCCGCGCCCTGCTTCCAGGCTGTGGTAGGGTCACTCCTGCCCCTCTCTCCCGCTGTCCGCGCCAGCATGGGCCTCGCCTGCGGTCCCCTTGTGGGTTCTCCCTTAGATGAGCAGCTGGGGGCACGGCAGGTGGGGCTGGGTCCCGTGGCACTCTGCGGGTGAGGAACGCTGGCTGCGACTCCGGCCCCCCTGCCCCTGACCGGCTGGCCCGCCTGCCCACAGAGTGGCCGGAGCCCGGCGCTGTGGGCCGCCCCTGAGACGCTTCAGTTTGGCCACTTCAGCTCTGCCAGCGACGTGTGGAGCTTCGGTGTCGTCATGTGGGAGGTGATGGCCTTCGGGGAGCGGCCCTACTGGGACATGTCTGGCCAAGATGTGAGTGACCGGAGTGGCTCCAGCTCCTTGCCTTCCGATCCTGTTGCCCTGTGACCTCAGGCCCCGGCTCCCTGACCTCTGCCCATGAACCCTTGACCTCTTAGCCCCAGGCCTCTCTTCACTGTCTGTTGTTTCCAGTCCTTGCCTGGTCACCATTTGAGTCTTCCTGGGGATGGGGTAAGTGTGTGTACTGGGGAACCTAAAACCTCCTGTCTGCCCACCGCTGCCCCCCACCGCACGGCCTAGGTGATCAAGGCCGTGGAGGATGGCTTCCGGCTGCCACCCCCCAGGAACTGCCCCTCCCCTCTGCACCGGCTGATGCTTGACTGCTGGCAGAAGGACCCGGGCGAGCGGCCCAGGTTCTCCCAGATCCACGGCCTCCTGAGCAAGATGATGCAGGACCCGGAGCCCCCGAGGTGTGCCGACACCACCTGTGCCAGGTACAGCGTCCCCTCACCTGTCCCAGGTGCCTTCCCCACTGTGCCGATACCGCTGAGCTCTCACCTGTCCTTGCATGCCCTCCCACCCCACGTACAGCCACACCCCTGTCCTACCCCACCTGTGCAGATACGACTGCTTGCTCAGGTGCCCCAGGCAGACCTAATACTCCCACCGCCTTAGGCACATACAGCTTTTCATCTCAGTCATTTCTGCTTGCCCTGGGTTTTCCCTGACGTATCCCGGGTACAGTGACCATGTAAGTAAATGTGGTGATAGTGCTAACAAGTCTGTAGTTCAGATAATACAGGTCACCTCCCCAACCTGCCTGCGCATGTCCTACCCCAGACTGTGCCAGACGCTCCCGGTGCCTTTAGCTGGCTCCTGTGCAGGCCCCTCTCTGCCTCCCTGGTGTCATGAGCCCCTGCTTGGCTCTGAGAGCACCTGGAGCCTAGTGTGAGCCAGGCCTGCCCTGGGGCTCGGTCATCTCCTCGGATACCCTGCCCTCGGATGGCCCATCCGCTGTCTCCTCAGATGACACCGCCTGTCCTTTCTCAGTGACTGGGTCTGGGCCCCAGGTCCCTACTGTTGACTGACCCCAGCTCCTCCACCCCAACCCAGGCCTCCCACGCCCCTGGCAGACCGTGCCTTCTCCACCTTCCCCTCCTTTGGCTCCGTGGGCGCGTGGCTGGAGGCCCTGGACCTGGGCCGCTACAAAGATGGCTTCGCCGCTGCGGGCTATGGGAGCCTAGAGGCTGTGGCCGCCATGACTGCCCAGTGAGCCTGAGGAACCCGGGGCCCTGCCCCTGCCTGCATGGGAGGCCCCGCCTGTCCTCATTCCGGGTCTTTCCCCGGGCGGGGGGGGGGGGGGGGGGGGAAGGTGGAAGGGAGAGAAGATGGGGAGGTGGGAGGGAGAGAAGACAGTGGGGCTGAGCCAGCGAGAGCTGACCAGCCGTCTCCCCAGGGACCTGGTGAGCCTGGGCATCTCGTCGGCGGAACACCGGGAGGACCTCCTCAGCGGGATTGGTGCTCTGCGGGCCCGGGTGCTCCAGCTGCAGGGCCGGGGGGTGCAGGTGTGAGCAGCCCCACTCTCCTGGCCAGGACCCTGGGGGGGCCCCCAGGCCCACCCAGGGCCCCTGCTGGCTGCGTTCCACCTGTGCGGAAGGGAGAGCCCAGAGCTTGAGTGGAGCCGCAGTCTTTCCCACCTCCCTGCCTGTTCTCACTGCCCCCGGTCTGAGCACCTTGGCTGACTCAGCCTTCCCTCCCGCCCCCCCATAGAAAAAAGGTTCAAATCCTGGGGAGGACCTCTGAGATACAGTGGGAGGAAATGCAGGGTCATAGAGACCCAGGTGGGCAGGGGCAGGGAGGAGGACCTAGCTTTAAATGCCCTGATTCATGCCCGTCTGTCTTCTGCACCCACTGGAGTCTGGGGCCCACCCCAAAGGGTGCCACACTTTCCCTCAGAGTAGCGGGCAGCCTGGGTCCCCGAGGGATGGGCCGCTCTGGGACCCAGCAAGGATACCCGTCCTCATGGGCCGTGGCTCCTCAGCTCCCCGTGGTCCAGCTGGGCCCTGTCCTGAGACCCAGGCAGGCAGAGGTGGTGCTGAGGGCCCTGAGGACCCCGGACTCAGGAGCTGGTTTCTGCATCCCCCACCCTTGGGCCGACCATTCTGGGTGAGGGTCCCGGTGCTCCCCTGAGGTCCCACTAGGCGTCCCCTGCTACTTTGCATTCCTTTTATAAACTCACTGGGCAGGACATCTGGGAGGAACATGAGGAGAGAGGTTTTCTGCCTGGGACTCTCAGAGCTTTTCTCCCAGCCCTGGGGATCGTGAAGACGTGACTCTCAGAGAAGGAGCTTCTCTAACGGGCCAGTTCAGTCCTTACTGTACCAGCGGGAAGACCGAGGCTCAGTGAGGAGTCCGGGCCAGAGCTGGGCTTGAGCCCACGGGCCCGACTCCTGATCCGGAGTGAGACTGGCTCTGGAGAGACTGCTTGGTCCTCCGTGTGCCACCAACACTCTTCCCTGAGGCAGCCCAGGGGCACTCTGAGGTGACCCCTCTTGCAAGCTTCATCCCCTGTACTCCCCAGCCCCCGTGAAATGCCTCCTCACTCTGGGTCCTCTTCTGTGGGGCTTGCGCTGAGGAGTGGTTGCACTGAGCTGACTCCAGAGCTCCTCATCCAGGAGGGCTTCCTGGAGGTGGGGGTGATCATGAGGCCAGGGCTTTTGTAGGACAGAAGGAAGGCGACTGGCCCTGGATAGGGTCACCCCTGACATACACCTGCTCTGGGGTATGGCTATGTGCGGGTGGGATGGGATGAGGTGGGAAGGGTTCAAGGGCTACAGGAGGGGGTGAAGGAGACACAGCCAGCCCTTGGAGGGCCCAGACGAGGCAGGGAGATGAGCTCAGGCTCCAGGAAGTACTGCACGCCCCCGATGGCAGACCTTGGGGCCTGAGGGTTGGTGGGCCAGAGGGGCAGATGGGCACTCTTGATGTATGTACATGGAAGGGTGTATGGGAAAGTTCCCTGGCTGAGTCTGACGCATCCATTGAATGGGACCTTGGAGGAGCCAGAGGAGGACTCTTTACTTAGGGTTGACGGAGGGCCTGGGACAAAAGGAGTCCAAGCAGAGGATCCTGGAGGGGGAAGAGGCAGCACATCCCTGGGAGTGCTCCGCGGTGGGGGTGGAGCCTCCCAACAGTGCCTTTAGCCTCATCCTGCCAGCAGGGCAGGAGCCCCCCAGCCCCGCGCTCCATCTCCTGAGCACCTGCCTCGGCTCAGTGTCCTGGGGGTGCCAGGAGAGGCTGAGACACTGCTTCTACCTTTGACAGAGCTGGAGGGTCCCTTGCCAGTGCCCTCCAGACTCTGTCCCCACCACCCCCAGGAGAGCCAGGAAAGGACACACCAGCACCCCGTCTTGGTGGAGGGAGCCTCACCCCACCTACAGCTGCATCAGCCATGCTCTGGAGGCCAGGGCGTCCCCCCCTCCACCAGCTGTTCTGCAGAGTCCCCTGGCTGTGTTGGCAGGACTTCGGTGTCCAGGGTAGACCTCCGTTCCCGTGAGGAGTGAGGTCCCAGCATCCTAACGGGTCCCAGGCCTCAGCCCCACACAGGTTGCCGGTGTGATGTGGGCTGACGGCTTCCTGGGAGCCCTGTACAGATCTATTTTTATATGGAACTTATTCAATGGATAGAGAGAGTTGGCCTGCAACCTGCTCCCAGCACCCGTATCTGAGCCCATCCAGGGAGGGAAGGGGCTGGTTGGGGGTGGGGAGAGTGGTTCCTTTGACTAATTCTGGAGATGTTTTTATATTTCTTGGGATCTATATGCAGGACATAGTAATAAAAACCTGTCTGTGGTATGGTGCCTGTCAGTGACAATTGCTTAAACATTAAGCTTGTGTGGGAGGGTTTTACACCACCACTCCCCCACGAAGTGTTTGTCTGCGGTCTCAGCGAGAGACACATTTAGGAGATAGGGCAGTGTGATTGGGGCTACCGTAGGGGTGAGTACTGGATGGCTTCCCGGAGGAGGCAGCACTCCAAGGTGCCATTCCCTGAGGTGGAAAAGACTTAAAGGGAGGGGAGCAGGTGGATAAGGTATGTGGAGGGAGCTTGGTTTTGGACAAGCTAAAATGTACATCCGATACTGTGAATAAATGATGCCAGGGTGATGTCCTATCACACCCTCCCCAAGAACTAGCTCCTCACATGAATAACTTAACCTAACCCTTCATAGGGCCTTCCCAGGTGGTGCTAGTGGGAAAGAATCCACAAACCAATGCAGGAGATGTAAGAGACACGGGTTCAATCCGTGGGTCGGGAAGATCCCCTGGAGGAGGAAATGGCAACCCACTAGTGTTCTTGCCTGGAGAATCCAATGGATACAGGAGCCTGGTGAGCTACAGTCCATGGGATCACAAAGAGTCGGACACAATGGAAGCGACTTAGCACACATACACGCAACCCTTCATAAGGCAATACGTTTGCACTTCTTCCAACAGGAAGTCCCAAGTAGGTCTTCTGGAAAGATCAGGGGGTCTGTAATGGTAAAGCTTGACACTTGCTGTTCATTGGAACCCTAGGATTCTTTGAAACTCCCCTGGTGATGGGGAGGACTCCAGGCTGCCACCTTCTCCTCCTCCCTCGGCCCAGAGCAGCTCTGCTTTGTTCATACACAGAGCAGAGGCTACAAAGTAAACTGCCCACAGGGATGAGGTACGAATCCCCCTGAATGGGAAGAAGACTCAGAGGGTCAAGGAAAACTGCTACACAGCTCCTGTTGACTGTGGCCCCTGTTGCTGAATCTTATTTTTGGTGGCTAGTGAACATTTTTGTGAAAGCTCACAATTTTTAAATTGTTAGCAATTTGAAAAAAAAAAACAACCAAAACTGTGAGAATATGTTTGCCGGACCTCTTTGATCTGGGGTCTGGCAGTAAGACTGACTTTTCTTTGCAGCATCCCAGCCTGGTGACAGTTCAGCCCTTGCTTTAAATCCTGGGAAGGGAAGCTAGCTCGTTCTCATCTCCAACCCTCACATGGGATGGACTGCTCCCTCTGTCTATGACTGGTATTTACTTGGCACCTGTTACATACTACACATTCCCTGCAATTGGGTCTAGGCAGTGGTGCAAATGGAGTGAACTAGGGTGAGGTGGACCCACGCCAGTGTTCTTGCCTGGAGAATCCCAGGGATGGGGGAGCCTGGTGGGCTGACATCTGTGGGGTTGCACCGAGTCGGACGTGACTAAAGTTACTTAGCAGCAGCAGCAGGGTGAGGTGGCCGTGAGTAAAGACTGTTGGATCCTGTGTTTCCTTGATGTCAAGCTGTACTTAACCCTGCACCCGATGATGTGGGAAAAGGTAGAAGCCTCAGCTTTGGTGACCTGATCTCTTGAAATGAGTAACCGCTACTCGGAATGCTGTCACTGACCGAAGGGCCTTCCCCGGAAACTGTCAACACCACGGACCTCCTAACTGTGGCCCGAGTCTGTCTTCTCTTCCACTGTGAGCCCCACCTTGATCATTTCAGTAAAAATTCCAGGAAGGCAGATCTGCCAGAGCCTGAAGCTTGGGACGTAAGAAGCCCCATCACTGAATCACTTGGGCCCCTGCTTTGTCCCTGGCTGATGAGACTTGCTACACAGGTAAACTATAGATGCCCTGGATTGTTGTGCCCCCAAGATGTAAACTTCTAGTTCGTGGAAGGAAGGCGTTGGGAAAAAACTTCCTGGGCTAGATTACCTCTCCCTGCTTGGGAGAGGGCCCCTTCTTTGGGTATCAAAGAGATTCTGCCTGAAGTAAAGGCTTTCACGTCTGCGGGAAGTAGCTGTTTGCAGACCCTCTGCTCTAATAGCTTCAGCCCCCAAACTGTCTTTAGTCCAGGTAACGCATTCTGGAGATGACAGGCAGGTGGAGTATCAGTTAGAAACAAATCCAAATCCATACTTTATTGAAAACCGGTACCTTTCGGTAGCTCTGATCAGAATAAATCAGCTTACAGATACCACGACTCAGGAAAACAATATGTACAAAAGTCTCAGGAAAGGGAGAATAAGACAACTTGAAAAGAACATATCTTGGACAGGACTGGATTACTAGGATGGTCATGTAGCAAAATAGTACAAAGTACAACAAAGAACCACACACACCACTGTGCTCCCGAGCGCAGGGCAGGAACTCTCGGCTCCCACGTTCTTGGACCACGTCCCATGATTCTTCGGGGCAGCAGGGCTGGCTGGGGCGCAGGGGTCTCCGTGCCCACGGGACAGCCCACACCAGGGCAGAGGCCAAACACACGGAATGGGGCCCCCAGACCAGCTACACTCGCTCCCCCATGAGCCTAAGAAGAGAGAAGTGCTCTCGGAAAGTCTACAGAACTGGCAGAGACTAGAGAGCTTTGAGTTCGATTGCAACCAGTCATGTAAAAACCCCACACTAATCTAAACCCTACAGTTCCCTTATCCAGATTCCCACTAACTGAGCTAACTGGAGAGGTAGAGGAGCAAGACGTGGAAACTGCCCTCAATCCAAGCTTTGGTCTTTGGTGAACAGGGACAATACACAATGCTAGTCCACAAATCAACTGGAGACAAGACTCCTGGGGGGCATGGCAGGTGTAAGACTGCAGAGCCCCAGCAGTACCCACCGCAGGGGGGGGGGGATGGGCACGGGAGGGGAGATGTGTCCTGCTGGGGTCACAGCTGTGGCTGGTCCTGGCCCCGTCCGCACAGTCCCTTCCAGCTTCGGAGCTGCTTCTTGGAGCTTACAGCTCCCAGCCTGAAGGCTGGGAGCCCAGCTGCACAGGGCTCCCTGGTGAGGGTGACTGACAGTCCTCCTGAGAACACGAGATTCCTCCGAGTTGCGGCAGGGCAAAGAGCAGAGGCGGCCGCTCTAAGAGCAGGAAGGAGAATTCAGTTCAGAGAAGGGCCGGAAGTTTGGACTGTATGGATGCAGAGGCGGTGTCTTTGTCACCTGGATTTGGAGGTGCCAAAAGCAAAGCTTCCTGAGTTCTCCAAGAGGAACAAAACCCCCTGCTCTGGAACTTCACAAACAAACAGTAAAGGAAGAGGTCTCTTCAGGGTTCCAGAAGTGCCCACAGAAGGCCCATCCTGTCCCGTCTTGGAATAGCAGCTTCATTTTTGAGTTCGTATGGTGCCGCAGATTTGAGCAAGACGGCTCTGAAAGGAAGAGGGGAGGTTGTTCAGTGGGTGGTGCCGGCAGGTGTGCCCACCCGCCCCTTAGTCTACTCACGGAGCACTGACTCTGGGGCTGGGCCGGTCTGGCTGACTCTCAGCTCTCCATCCTTTATTCGGACACGAACGAACTAACCCTTCTGGGAGGCAGCTATGCTCACCACTAGACCACCAATGCACACTGAACTAAACTTTCTGCATCTCTGTTTCTCATCTGAACGAAGCAGCAAAATGCTGTCTCAGGTGAGACAGCGAAGGTATCATTTGGGAACAGCAATGCTGGAGGTCCAGCTGATGAGGGATGTCACCAGGTTCGGGTGGCTGGCATGTGCCCAGTCTTAGCACTGGCCTGTTCCAAATGACATGGTTGAGAAAGCAGCTCCGCCCTCATCTGCTCCCTGGACATGCCCTTCACTGACCCTACCCCACCCCACACCCAGAAGGGGGGCCAAAAGCAGCCACGTTTGTGCTACGTGTTCCCGTCCACCATACTAAATCCAGCCGACAGGACCAGGGTGGCCCGTCTGACCAAAGCTGAGAATGGAATTGTCAGTTCTTCCTCTTGAGAATTTAAATGAGGACTAACCCTGGACAGCCCACGCTGGGCAATGGTGTAGGGAGTGCAACTACGCAGAGCCGCACTCCGACCCAAGGTAAGGGGGCGGGGAACCAAGGGCCTCATGGAGAAGGTGATATTCTGCTTAGGGAGGAAGGAGAGGTGCAGGAGAAATGAGTGCTTGGGCCCCAGAGACAGAGGTGCTAAAGGAGCTGATGCAGCAGAGCAGAGTCCCATCAACCCCTGGCATTGTGGCCCCACCACCCGGAGGGCCTCGCTGGTCAGCACTCTTTTCGATTCTGTGGGATTCCTTGTAACAAGTTCCTCACCCTGTTCCTGAACTGCTGTGAGGAAGCTTCAGTTCCCAGAGGTCAACTGCTGTGCCGTAACATAAAGGCACCAACTGCCTGAATGAGGCAGAATTTTTTATTTTCTTGTGGAACTTCTGTGGTAGGCGCTCTGGGTTGGACCAAAACTCAACATCAGTTTAGGGACAGAATTGTTGCTAGGTAAGCAGGAGAACGTAGTGTCAAAATTCCTTGGGGGAAACAGTTGTAAGTGTAAAGCACCAGCCCAGACCCAAAAGGCAATCTTAAGAATGGCTAAACCCAGAAGGCTCCACCCTGTGTGTGGAGAGGAGCGTGAGACTTACAGAGAGCTTCTTAATGTTTCCCAGGGCCTCTGGATCCAGCTGTGCAATATCAATCCTCTGCAAGTCACTGGCCAATAACCGCATGCTCTGTGGAGAGGGGAGAGGGTTAAAGTGGCAGGTCCCTCAGAGCAGGAACCTCTGCTAGCAGCCCAGGGTGCCCTGGGGGGTCCCCTTGATGTCCTGCACTTGTGGGTGGTGGTGGCAAGGCAGGCAGGAGGGGTGTTGGTCCCAAGGAGACAGTGATGTTGGCATTTATCACTGGGCCAGTGGCTGGATCAGCCAAAGACAAGGGGTGCACGTTAGCTTAGAAATGCCCTGCAGACCTCACGTGAGATAAACCATCCCCTCTGTCCCCGAGCGGAGGTCAGCAACTTGCTCTGCTCTGCCCGCTTCAGATTCCTCGAAGTTACACAAAGTGGAAGACTCTCGAGGTCCCCTCTCTAGACTAAGCATGCACCCTGACAGTGCCCTCCTTTGCACACCCTTTAAATCTCCTTTACTGCACACATCATATGTTATGTTATTGTTAACTGGGAGCCTAGCTTGACTACTGACCGCTACTCAAGGGCAGGAATGTCTTCCACATCTTGAACCTGCTATTAATACAAGATACATGGGCCTATGTTAGCTGATAAACAAATGGAACCCAGAGCTGGGCAAGAATCTTCTCAGTCTGGAGCTCTAACCTGGGAGAGGAAATGGTTCTGAGTTCTACAGAAGTGTGGAGATGACGAGCCAGGCAACCAAAGGACTTTGGGTTCCGGGACAGAAATGGGTGATGAACAAGAGAAAGAAATGGTGAGAAAGGAGCACACTGTGGCTTGACCCACCCCTCCCCAGAACACTTACCTCTCCGCCTCCCACCGGCACAGTGAGGAATACCTCTTTGCTGTCAGCAAGAGGGCTGCCATTCACAGACACATTGTAAATCCGCTCTCTGGCCGCTGGAGTGCGCAGGCCCGGGGTCTTGAAGATCCTATAAAGTGGGAAAATCTCTGTAAAGATGGCTTGGCAGATTGAATGACACCAGGCGCTACAAGCCCTTCCAAATCCCATCTGGCCTCAAGCTGCAGTTTTCAAATCACACATTTCTAAGAAGAAGCGTTCTAAATTTAGGGTTAAAACGCAGTAATGCTCAACACAGCTGGAGAAAGGAGGAGGTAATTATCAAACATACATCTAGCGAAAGTCAATTCTTATCCATGTAAATTTTAGGTCCAAAGCTCCATATGGAGAGCAGTCACCCATCCATCCATCCACCCACAAAGCCAGAAATAAACAGTGGCTAATATATTTCCAAGAGTGGCTATGTGCTTCCATCAGGAGAAATTTTTCAGGGTCAAAGGAGGATGGTTCAGTGATGACACTATTATATTAATTCCCAAACTGACTTTCTTGAGATCTTTAAAGTGCTTCCATCTCTTTTCCCCTAAATGTCCTTTGCTATATACTCATGCCAAAAAAAAAAAAAAGTTAAGGAGGAGTGAGAATTAGAAATAGAAGGTGAGTCTTCCTCACTCTCCCACTCCAGAGATAAGCACGCTCTTCCTTATCCGTCCTTCCAGAAACTATCAAATGGGATCACCTAGGTCATGCTGCTCTGCCACCTGTTTGGAGAGGCTCCTGACCATGAAGCTCTTCCCATCAGCACATGCAGAGCCACTTATTTTTTAATGGCTACATAGCATCTCCTATCCAGTTGACCAGCACTGTAGAAGGGATTAATTTATGCTGTAAGAACATCTGTATTTATATTGGTCTCCCAAAAGTGGTGTTAATTTTCACTCCTACCAAGGGTATGGGAAGAGTACCTCCCAACTTAAAATAAACTTAACCAGAATCAGAAAAGACCAAAATAGTCACTAGACGCCTCCAAGTCATCAGGGACAGACTGGTCTCCTCCCTTCCATCAGATAAACAATCATTTTGTCACTGAAAACAGGCGAACCTACTCTCAGGGGAGAGGCAAACGTTAGGAAACGCTCCCGAGAGAGGCTTTCCAGTATTTTCTTAAATCCCCGTCCTCTCCGAGAAATGCCAAGCACTGGGCTCCCACCGAAATCCAAGTGCTGCCAGCACTCACCGTGAGTCAAACCTGGGTGTCAGGCCTGGAGTTGGTTTCACCAGAGACAGCTCCAGTCGGCCCACAGACGGGGTAATGGTGGCATAATGGCTTGACCTACGGGAGAGACACGGCCATTAGGTGCACCAACTGTCAGGTCCAGTGACTGCAGCCATAGAGGCAGGTAACACTGAGCGTGTCAGAGCCTGTCCTGGGAGCCTTCCACACATTAGCTTGTGTAGCCTCCTCACCACCCTGTGAGAGGCACCATTATCCTCATTTCCGGATGCAGAAACTCAGGGATATGAGGGCAGAGCCAGAACCCTGAACCCAGGCAGTCTGCCTCCAGAATCTGACTTCTCAATCAAGCTAAGGGAACGAGAGGAAGGAGACAGCCCCTCTGCACCCTGTAGGCCCTCTAGTTGGAGCTCCTGTCCTCTTGCCAGGAAGCTCCCACTGCCCAGGGAGAAGAGAGAGGAGCTCACTCTTCACAGACATGCCCCAGTGACTCCATTCCTGAGCTTGTTAAAAGGCAGCCCCCTCCCCCACCCTCCCAGCATAAGAAATTGAAGTCCATGGTGATTCATTACTTAGCAGGACCAGGAGGAATTTTTCAAGAAACTAACCACAGGTAGGTGATAGCCACTTTGTGACTGACCATGTAGGTAGCTCTATACACGGACTGTCCGGAAACTGAACAAAATATACAGTGCTTACTGTATCTGTGTCTTATTCATCTCCCTGTTTGCATTAAAAAAAAAAAAAAAAAGGTGGGGGAAGACAGAACATGGGCTGAAGAGCCAGAGAAGGTGTTGGGTCAGATGGTTTCTAGAGGTCCCCCAAGCTCAGATACTGGCGGGTTCGATGATGTGAAGCTCTACTTGAACACAAGTCACAAAAGCCCTTTTACCGCCCATTCCTGCCATGATGAATGTGGCTCTCCAATAAAACCAAAAGCACATCTGAATCTGGAAAACCTGTTACCTTTTATTTTTGCCTTTTCCTTGTATGGACTGGGTTCTCTTCTTGGATGGAGGACACCTCTTAACCTGAAGTCACAAACAAATGAAACTGAGGTTACAAAAAGCCCCACAAAGGGGAAAGGTTAGGGAGAAGGATACCAGCTCTGGAAAAGAAGTGAGTATCTGAATGTCAGAAGGTATACCTTACAGAACTCACAGTGACTTAAATAATTCAGAGCAGAACTGATCAACTAAGAATCATACTGCCCGAGTCTTCCAATTAGAGAACTCTGACCAGGATGAAAGGTCAGCGCCCGCTGAACTGAGTGCAGCTTGGCTGGTTCCCCTACCCTGCTCCCACCCCCTCATACAGCACTGCTGTGACAGTCGCTAAGGGCACCCAGGTGCCCGACACAAGGAACCCTCAGCAGCCCTCACCCTCGCCGAGTCCCTGGAAGTGCCTGACAAGAATCAGTTTTTACCTTCTGATGATCCTCCCTTGTTCAGAAGATTGAACAAGGGCAGTGGGACCACTCTGCTGTTCGGGCTGGCCTTCTCTCTGCAGGCTGCCTCACAAGCCCCTCTTTCTACCTTCCCTCCAGGGTCCACCCTCGGCCTCCCCTCCACATTCTCCCCGCACAACCTCAGTGACCCCCATGCTGGGACAACCACCTAAAGATCTGGGAGTCGGTGTCGCTCAATCTCTTTCTTCTGCCTGAGCTCCAGGCTGAGATTTCTGTCAGGGCTAGACATGCTGGTGAAGTATTACACTCAGCAGGTTGAAGGACTGACAGACTAACTGCTTCCCTTTGCCCTGACCCAGCACTCCTCCTCCCATGCCCCATTTCCACCAGAGGGCAGTTCCCTAAGCCAGAAACCACCTGGTCATCTCAGGTCGCTCCTCCTCTCCACCAACCTTGCCCACTCTCCTTTGTAAAACGTATCCCTTCTCTTTTTACAGGGTCAGGGCCTCAGTTCAAGAATTACAGCAGCCCCCGCATGTAAATCAATAAAGCTAGAACACACTCTCACACCATGCAAAAAAATAAATGCAAAATGACTTAAAGACAAACATAAGACATGACACCATAAAACTCTTAGAAGACAGCAAAGGCAAAATATCCTCTGACATAAATTGTACCAGTGTTTTCTCAGATCAGTCTCCCAAGGCAATAGAAATAAAAACAAAAATAAGCAAATGGGACCGAATTCTGGGACTTACAAATTTTGCACAGCAAAGAAAACATAAAAAAAAACAAACCTACAGAATGGAAGAAAATATTTGCAAATGATATCACAGATAAGGGCTTAATTTCCAAAATGTACAAACAGCTCATACAACTCAATTCACAAAAAAACAAACAACCCAATCGAAAAATGGGCAGAACCTTAAGACCTTAACAGACATTTCTCCAAAGAGGACATACAGATGGCCAGTAGGCACATGAAAAGATGCTCATCATCACTAATTATTAGAGATATGCAAATCAGAACTATAAGGTACCTCCTCCTCACACTAATCAGAATGACCACCGTTAAAAAGTCTACAAGTAATAAATGCTGGAGAGAGTGTGGAGAAAGGGGAACCCTTCTACACTGCTGGTGGGAATGTAAGTTGGTGCAGCTATTATGGAAAACAGTGTGAGGTTCCTTAGAAAACTAAAAACAGAATTACATTATGATCCAGCAATCCCACTCCTGGGCACATACTTGGACAAAATTATAATTCAAAAACACACATGCACCCCTATGTTCATAGCAGCACTATTCACAATAGCGAAGACATGGAAGCAACCTAAATGTCCATTGACGAATGGAGGAGGAAGATGTGGTATATACACAATGGAATACTATTTGGCCATTAGAAAGAACAAAACAATGCCATCTGCAGCAATATGGATGCAACTAGAGATTATCATACTAAGTGAATAAGTCAGAGAAAGACCACATATATATCACATGTGGATACCATGTATCACATGCGGTATCTAAAATACGGCAGAAACGAACATATCTATGAAACAGAAACAGACTCACAGACGCAGAGAACTGAACTGTGGTTGCCAAAGGGGAGGCGGGTGGAGGACAGAAGGACCGGGAGTTTGGGATTAGCATATGTAAACTCTTATATATAAGATGGATGAACAAGGTCCTACTGTATAGCACAGGGAACTATATTCAATACCCTGTGACCAATCATAATGGAAAAGAATACTTAAAAAAGAATGCCTATAGTATATAACTGAGTCACACTGCTATACAGCGGAGATTTGCACAGCATTGTAAATCAGCTATACTTCAATTAAACAAAATAATAAAGCTTCCCAACTGGTTCCCTTGTCTCTAATTTTCTCTCTCTTGTTTATCCTGAATGCTCTTCTGAAATACCTATCCATCATGTCATTTAGCTCATGAAATCACAACCTCTAAGCTTGGCTCACAAGACTCCTGCTTTTCCCAGATTACTCTCACAGCTTATGTCCTTGCCACCACACCAAACTGCTTCCTGTTCCTCAAAGGGCACTTTCATACCCCTTCCTGGAATTCCCTTCCTTTTCTTCTCCAGCTAGTGAAATTTCACTCATTTTAAGGCTGTGTCCTAAGAGGAATGGTAAAACTTCTAGTGGCAGTGGGGTAAGGGAGTGATAAAAGAGGCATACTATATTTTAAGTATTTCCTTGTCTGCTGACAGGCTCCCACCCCAAATCTGAGTGCATACTTACTCTTGCAGTTTGACGATTCTTACTGTTATTTTCTTCCTCTTCTTCTTCCATTATCATCTCATCCACTTGCATTACCTTTCGTGCTATAAGAAAGTTTTAACAGAGTGATATTTCTCATGGGAATAAACTTTTATGCATTCACATTTCTTATAGGAAATAAAACTTAGGCAATTTTAGGTTGTAATTAAGAAATAGATCCAATATAAAGATGATTAAAAAAGAGAATTTAGCCACACACACACACACACACACACACACAAGTCTCAGAGTGATTAAATAACCCTATATCGTGCTTTGTGTGGGCAGCCCAGCATTTTGATTAAGAATGCAGACCCCAGAGTCAGACAGCCTTGAGCGTGAGGCCTGATCCTGCCTCTGACTATGTCACATGGTTTTCGCCACGATCCTCAATTTCTTCTTCTATAAAAGGGAGGAGACACTTCATGGGGATATGAGACATGGAATGTGTGCTCAACAAAAATGGCGTCTTTGTTATTCATCGCAAGCTCTAGAATTGTGCCTACAAGTGCTTATTAAATATTTGTGGGATGAAGGAATGTAAAGTCCCTTGAGTAATACTGTACACATTATAAGTATTAATGTTCTTTAGTCGCTAAGTCATGTCCAATTCTTTTCGACCCCATGGACTGCTGTATGCCAGGCTTCCTGGTCCTTCACTATCTTTCAAGATTGCTCAAATTTACATCCATTGAGTCAGTGATGCTATCTAACCATCTCATCCTCTGTAGCCCTCTTCTTCAATCCTTCCCAGTATCAGGGTCTTTTCTAATGAGTTAGCTAGCTCTTCGCATCAGGTGGCCAAAATACTGGAACTTCAGCTTCAGCTCAGGCCTTCCAGTAAATATTCAGGGTTGATTTCCTTAGGATTGACTGGTTTGATCTCCTTGCTGTCCACAGAATTCTCGAGTCTTCTCCAACACCACAATTCTAAAGCATCAATTCTTCAGTGTTCAGCTTTCTTTATGGTCCAGCTCTCACATCTGTACATGACTACTGGAAAAACCATAGCTTTGACTATATGGACCTTTGTTGGCAAAGTGATGTCTTTACTTTTTAACATACTGTCTAGGTTAGTCATAGCTTTCCTTCCAAGGAGCAAGTATCTTTTAATTTCAAGGTTGAAGTAAGCATCCACAGTGATTTTGGAGCCCAAGAAAATAAAGTCTGTCACTGCTTCTACTTTTTCCCCTTCTAATTGCCATGAAGTGATGGGACTAGATGCCATGACCTTAGTTTTTTTAATGTTATTACTATTTATTATAATAAAATACTATTTATAAATAATAAATTATTACAATTTTCATTTTAGATGGGAAAGGAATATGAAGGATATTTAAGATGGATGATTCAAGAGGAAATACCAGTTTTTAATATTTAAGGGGTTGTCATATGGAAGGCAGCTCTATGGGACCTCAAAGAACAGAAGCAGTATCAGTATGTAGATACCACAAGGAAACTTTGGTTCAAAATAGAAAAAAATGTTCTAACCATTCCAGCTATCTATCATTGAAAGGGAGTGTCTCATTGCTAAATACATACAACCACAGGCTAGAAAATCCTAAGCGGGGATTCCATAGAGAAATTTAACCGTGGGGAAAGACTTCAGACTCAATGAATTTTAAGCTTTTTTCTCCCTGACACAAATAAGAAGACAAATATATTTACCTTTAAAAAAGAAAAGGTAAGCTGGAGTAAGCACTGGGTGGTATTTTAGGTCTGGCCCGGTAGAGAAGGTGCTGCCTGATGGGCAGCCTGAAATCCGGAGCTTAAGGTCAGTGGCAGCACGTCCATTAGAGAGCTCATCCTGGCTTGAATCTATGCTCACTAATTACAATCAGCTTCCCCAAACCTTCCCTCTAAGATAGTGTTTCTCTGAGTGTGGGGCGTGTATGGGAGAGAATTTTACATGGACGGGTCACTGAACCGAGTAGCATGGAGTGGCACGCTGAGCAAGTTGGTCCTTTCACAATTCTCTCTCAACCCTTCTGCTCACATCAGGGAGTCTTGGCCAGCATTACTACGTCTTGTCACACCTCTCCAAACCTTGCTTGCCTCTCTCTCAGGGAAGGAAGCAGGCAACAGTGTTTGGTTTCCAGCACAGCCTTTTGTTTTTCTTCTTTTACTTTAGCTCACAAATTGGTCTGAAGAGTTTGGTTAGTTATCAGTCCTGCATATAATTAACTGAATGCAGAGGACAAAATCAAATTTTTGGATTTTCAAGACTGAGGACCAGGCATTAGAGGGAAGAGACTCCTCCAAGGAGGCCTCCCTGAGCAGCCAGCCAACTACACTGGGCCTTCGCTCTCACTGCAACAAGGGATCTTGCAAAGTACTCACTTTTGGCAGGTTTCAGGGGTGTCCGAGTAGCTTCTGCTGTTAATTTGTTTATTTCTGTGATATCCAAGTCAGCCTGTGCCAAACAGTCAGAAAACACCAGGTATATTCCATCAAATGTGAGGAACAATATTTTAATATTAAAAGCAACTTAAAAAACCATATTCTTTGATATATACAAAAGATTATGTTACTTATAACACAAAATATTGAACTCCCACAAATCCACCATACAACCAAAGACCCAAAAACACTGCCAATTACTTGCTTCTAGCTATGTACTTCTCCCTGTGCTATTTCTTTGCCTCTCCTCAAAGGTGACTAGTGTCCTAATTCTGTCATTCCTTAGAGATAACCACTATCTATCATTCCATTTGCCTGAAAGAAAGTGTGGGCGTATATATATTTCACCACAAGTGTCTATGTGCTTAAACAATATTTTGCTTGGTTCTGCTTTTGACCACTATTTGTGATTGTAGTTGATTTGTTCTCACTGCTATGTAATACCTGTCACAATGGATTTGTCCAGTCTCCTGTCAATAGTATTTTGCTATTACAAACACTGCTACTTTGAACTGTCTTATAGCTGTGTCTGATGCACACATGTCCAGGCTTACTCCTGGCTGTATACTTAGGGATAGGGCATCAGAGAATTGCAGGGTACACAGGTGTTCAGGCTTAATACTTTGCAAAATTGTTTTCCAAAGTGATTGTACTTGTTTACATGCCAGGAGCAAACAGTACAAGTTTCAAATAACCCATATTCTCTACAACACTTGATGCTATGTCAGTCTTCTCATTCCATCCCCAGCTTTATTGAGGTATAATTTACAAATATGATTCTAACACATTTAAAGTGTTACGAGGGTGAGATGTATGGAGAGAGTAACATGGAAACTTACATTACCATATGTAAAACAGATAGCCAATGGAAATTAGTTGTATGTCCTAGGGAACTCAAACAGGGGCTCTGTACCAAACTAAAGGTATGGGATGGGGAGGAAAATAGGAGGGACGTTCAAGAGGAAGGGGATATATGTATACCTATGGCTGATTCATGTTAAGGTTTGACAGAAAACAACAAAATTCTGAAAGCAATTATCCTTCAATTAAAAAATAAATTTTAAAAAATGCCTACATATATAAAAAAGTGTTACACATACACACTGTGAAATAATTATCACAATCAAGTTAATTAATGCACCCATCACACAGTTACCTTAAAAGAATTTTTTTTTTGAATTTTTTTTTAAGTCTAGAGGGCCAAATGTTTTTCTGCTATGCTCCTGTACCCTTCAAAAAGGCTTCCAGTCGCCATTCTAATTAAGTTTATTCCCAGTGGTAACTATCTATATGTATGGGAATAGCCAAAAGCAGGCATGCTTCACAAGCCTTTTCTTGTGGGGCACATTAAGTATCAGAATAGCCATTACAGACAAGGAGTGACACAGTTTCATCTCTGGATTGATAGAGACTACATGGAGTACTCAGACAAGGACTCTAAGGCTGTTGGGGCTTAGCAAGAAGCTATGCTGTGCTAGAGATGAGCGGTGTCTGAAATGGAGGATGATTCAGTAGTCATAGTGGCTACTGAACATATGACTCATGGTTAGTGTGTCTGAGGAACTGAATATTTTATTAATTTAAAGTTACACGTGGCTGGTGGCTATTGTAACAGATAGTACGGATCTAAACTCTACTCTGCCTCCCCATCATACTGCCTTCAGTCCTAGCAATCATGCCAGGAGGAAGGAAGTGAGAAGGAGTGGGGAATCCTGAGAATCCCAAGCAAGAGCACAGCTTCTAGAGTATGATGCGAAAAGGCAACAGTCTCTCTGTTCCCTAGCAGGCCAGGGGTTTAAAGGAACTTGGCTTTCTACTTCACCTGCAAAGGTCGGGGCAAAGAGCTGCAAGGAACCTGCCCAAAACAGGACTATTTCTCTATAAACCTTGGAACTACTTGGCCTTCATGTACTCAGCATTCAACAACTATAATCTTTTAGTTGACATCAGTAATGTCCCCTCTGGAACCTGTTCCATAGTCAACACCCACAACTGAATTTTGTGGACGGACTAAAAAAACTAACCAAGAGTTCAAAAATAGAAGTCACTTACTGTTGCTGCTTCTTCCAGGGCCTGCTTGTTTCCTCCAAGGGCTTTGAAAAGAACAATTTGCTTGGTTACTAGATTTTAATAATTTAATCAACAAACTATCTTCCCTAATATGACCACTTATCTTACACTGGACCAGATTAAGTCCTTGGTCCAACATTCAGGAGCCTCTACAACCTAGTCTAATCTTTCTCCAAGCTTGACTGTTCCCTTCATGACTTACTACAAGTTCCACTACACCAAAGTGACTGTTATTTCCCAAATGTGCCACTGTCTCTCATGACTCAGTGTTCTGATAGTTATTTCTCCTGCCTGAAATAATCCCCTGCACTCTACAAATCTGGAATTCATCTTTCAAAACCCAGCTCAAACCCAAAACTCTGCTTATTTTTCTCTCACAGCAGTTGCTGCGATGTGTTGAGTTAGTTGCTCACTATCATCATATCCAACAACTACTCAAAGCTGTAGAAGTACCCAACCCTGCCTTGAACTGAACTCGAGGACAAAAATAATATCCACAGCCTCTGGCAAAAAATATGTCATCAGTATGTATGGTGTAAATGTGTATTGAATGAAGAGATCTTCGCAAGATTTAGATGTAGAATAAAAACTTAGGTTAGAGTCCTCCTGCTGGAAATGTTGGTAGTATCCTGTATAACAGTTAAGGACTTTGGAAGCAGAATGCTTACATTCAAATCTGTCACTAATTGGCTAATGAAACTTTGAGCGAAGTAAACAATCTCTGTGCTTTAATCTTGTCATCTACAAAGCAGGAATAAAATCAACAACTAATGTTTGTTATGAGGATGAAATCATTAATATACGGAAAACACTTGGTTTTTCAGTTAACATTGGAAAACACAATGCCTGTCTGGCATAGAAAGCACTATATAAATGTGCTTACTGACCACTACTTTACTCTCTTCTGAAGTACTTATAAATTTAAATATATAATCATGTCCAAATTTTTAGAACAATTCTTCTCTATTAAGTTCCTGGAGGCAAGGATAATGTCTGTTTTATTTCCCAATGTATCTTCAGCACCAATATTGTGACTAACACATGCTCAATGAATATTTACAGAAATGCACAAATAGATTAATAAATAAAAGAGAAAGTCCAAAAGGATCATTAAATGACATTTATGTGAGCAGAACGTGCATTTCTATCCAGGTAGCAGGCTGAAAGTGAAAGTGAAGTCGCTCAGTCGTGTCTGACTCTTTCCAACCCCATGGACTGACTATAGCCTACCAGGCTACTCCGTCCATGAGATTTTCCAGGCAAGAATACTGGAGTGGGTTGCCAGCAGGCTACCTAGTGGGTAATTAATCATAAGAAAAAAGTAAAAGTAAGGGTAATCCAACAAAAGGACAGCCTCTTGCATTTCATGGCAAATAGATGGGGAAACAGTGGAAACAGCACCTGATTTTATTTTTCTGGGCTCCAAAATCACTGAAGATGGCGATTGCAGCCACAAAATTAAAAGACACTTACTCCTTGGAAGGAAAGTTATGACCAACCTAGACAGCATATTAAAAAGCAAAGACATTACTTTGCCCACAAAGGTCCATCTAGTCAAGGCTATGTTTTTCCAGTGGTCATGTATGGATGTGAGAGTTGGACTATAAAGAAAGCTGAGCGCCGAAGAATTGATCCTTTTGAACTGTAGTGTTGAGAAGACTCTTGAGAGTCCCTTGGACTGCAAGGAGATCCAACCAGTCTATCCTAAAGGAGATCAATCCTGGTTGCTCACATTGAAGCTGAAACTCCAATACTTTGGCCACCTGGTATGAAGAGCTGACTCAGTGGAAAAGACCCTGATGCTGGGAAAGATTGAGGGCAGGAGGAGAAGGGGACGACAGAGGATGAGATGGCTGGATGGCATCACCGACTCAATGGACATGGGTTTGGGTGGACTCCGGGAGTTGGTGATGGACAGGGAGGCCTGGCGTGCTGTGGTTCATGGGGTTGCAAAGAGTCTGACACGACTGAGCGACTGAACTGAACTGAACTGAACTTGCATTTCCTTGTACATTTAACCAGGCGGTAGGGTAGGGAACGGGCTGGGGTTTTCCTCTGGCCAGGAAAATTCTTTGAGTCCTTGCACTTCGCAATTTGTTTGCCCATTTATAAATTGGTGATTTCCATAAGCTGCGGAAAGAGTTGGTTGGAGTTATCCTTCCACTGAGCTCTGGTAACAAACTATTCATTCATTCACTTTCAAATGGATAGATAAAATACCACCCCCCTCAAAAAAAGAGTATTTCATGACACATGAAATCTGAAATCTGTCAAATTCACATTTCAGTGTTTCCACAAATCGATTTCTGTTGGAAAACAGCTATGTCCATTCATTACAGCTGTTTTGGAACTATATAACAGCAAAGTTGAGTAGTTTGGACAGAGAACCTTCTGGCCTGCAAAGCCTAAAATAGTTATTATCTTCTCCTTTAGAGAAAACATTTGCCTGCCTGCAGAGGAAGATGAGGGAAAGTGCTAAGAAGAAAAGCAGGGAGGTGAGACAGGGATTGGGGAAGAGTAGGACTGCAATTTCCTCCTAAGGTGATCTTGGAAGACCTCACTGAGAAGATAAAAGCTGCCATGGTAACCACAGAAGGGCTCCAGGCCGAAGCCTGGGGAAAGACCAGGAGCTCTTACCGAAGTATTCGAGCCAGTTCATCTCGCGCAGCGCCTTGGGGAGTCGCAGGATCTCAATGTTGTACAAGTTATCCAACTCTTTGAGGAGGTTCTGCCTGTCTGACTGAATTTGCTTGGATCGCATTTGCACTGCGAGAGGGCAGAGAGGACATGGTATGGGTCACCCAGCGGGCAAAAGGTTCCCGGAATCCCTGCCGCCCGCGTCCCAATCCTCCAACACCCCGGGACTGCCCCAGGTGACCGCGACCACCCGGGGTCCGCCCCTTACCTTCACGGTCGAAGTCCTTAAGAAAGGAGGCGAGCTTTCGGTTCCGCAGCGCGTTGGTCTTGGCCACCCGACTGCCACCCTTCCTAGACGGAGCCATGGCGCTTCGATGGAGGCTGCGGGGAGCGACGGGCGGAGGTACAAGGCGTCAGCGGCGAGATGGTGAAGGAGAGGGGGCCGCAAGGGGGCGGGAAAGGCCCCCCCACGGGGTTTGAATGGGGACCCCTGCCCTTCCGGGCCCGGGCATAAAGGATTCGCGAGACACCCACCTGCAGGTTCTGATACCCGGGCTGAGGAAAAACCTGGTTGCTTTAGCTGAGAAGGAGCTGCTCGGGACGAACGCGACGTGAGACCGCCGCCACCAAATTCAAACTGCCAAAGGCTGACCAATAAAAAGCCGCCGTCTTAGGAGGGTCTCATAACAGCCAATCACAGAGAAGCTTCGCAATCGGGCAGCCAGTCCACACTTAAACTACAGCACCCAGAAGGCATTGCGGCACGACCGACTATTTTTCGCGACTCAGTAGCCAAGTTTGGGCATGCGCAGAGAAAGAGCTGAGGCACGCGGGGGGCCTTGGAATTTCCTTAAAATTTTATTGCTTTAGTTTTGTTTTCCCGCTGGTTTAGAAGAGCGACCGGAAACCTCAAGTAGAGGAGACAGGATTCTGGTTGCGGAAGCACGGGTTGGCCTGATGAACCTTCAGTCAGAAATTGCCCGAAGCCAAAGAGTAGTCAGAAAAGCCTTCTCGAGGTGGGAAACGAAGGTTCTGCCTTCCGAGAGCCTGGCTGAAGGTAAGACTCGCGCTAGAAACACCTGTCGGGAGGTATAGACGGCCCTATATGAGGAAACTTTGTTTCGCTGGACCTCCCCTGAGAACGGAAGTAACTCCCACCCTTGACTCGGTCCTTTCCCAATCGACTTGGGACCCTAATGATATTTGTTTTGTCCTGTTTTTTTTTTTTTTTCACCCCCACAATAGAAGATGACTGAAGATCAGACTTTGCTCGCCGTGCAGGAGGCCCTGAGAAAGTGCTTTCCCGTGGTGGAGGAGCAGCAGGGCCTGTGGCAGAGTGCTCTGAGAGAGTGCCCGCCCCTCCTGGCCTCTCTTAGCAACCTGGCAGAGCAGCTGCAAGCCGCACAGAACCTGCGATTTGAGGATGTGCCCTCACTTCGGGCCTTCCCGGACTTAAAGGAGCGGCTGAGGCGCAAGCAGCTGGCGGCTGGTGACACTATCCTGGACAAGCTAGGAGAGAGGCTGTAAGAGGCACAGTGGCGCTCTTTCTTGGCCTAGAGATGTTAACACTGGATATTTAATAATCTAGGATCAGTGAGAAGGGGGTTTTTCTCCTTACTTAAGAGAATGGTATTCGGGGATGTGTCAACCTTACCCTCTTTCCATCTGTTGCAGTGGGACCTCTGTCTGTCAAAAAGCCATTTTCTGGCACTTCTCTTAACTAGGCATGACAGTGGTGGACTTGGTAAAAGTTATCAAAGCAGAACAGAAAAGCAGTGGAGAAAGCTTATTGGCCCTCCACTATAGTTTTCCTTAGGTAGAAAACAGCAGGAGTTACACTGTAAACTTAGTAGGTGCCAGCAGTAAGGATTCTACATATATTATCTCATAAAATCTTTTCAGCAACTCTGTGACTTAACCTCACTTAATCCCATTTTTCAGGTAAGGAAACTGAGGCTCACACAAATTGCCTGTGCTCAGGCAGTTAGTAAATAGTAAAGCTGGGATGCTAACCCAAGTGTCTCTGGCACTGGGGCCAGAAGCTACTAACCACTGCTTTGTTCTGCTGTACATTGGTGTTTGTGCCAGGAGGAGCACCAATGTTAGGCCCTCTGTCTTAGAGTTATAGGTAATTGGGGATAGAGAAAAGACAGGGCACATGTGGCCTTCCCTTAACCAGGATGAAAGAAGGTTCTAGTGTGTAGGGTTTGCCATAGACTGATGGGAAACTCAAAGATGGGGGCCTTCTTTGTATTTATCTGTACAAAAAACATTATTAAGAACCTATGGGATGCAAAACACAAGTGCTAGGAATACAGCAGTAAGGCCGGCTTAGTTCCTAAGTTGAGTAAGAGAGTCAATAAGTTAGGTCATTATACATTCTAAGGTAGCGAACTTTTATTTCAATTGATTACATGTTTCTATGTGGGTATTGGGCTGTTATTTTTAGCTTAGTTTTTAATTGTGAGTCACAGTCAAACTTGAAAGCTGCAGTTCTAGGCTAGGGAGTGCCTTGCCCTTTGCGAAGTTGTAGCCTTCGTCTTGGTGGCTGGACCTCTTGGGGTCACCAATGGAATAATAATTCTTAAAATAATTATAATAATTTTAAAAATAAATTATATAAAAATAATATAATAAAATTTGCCATAAGCTAGGCACTTCACTAATGGCTTAATATGCATTATTGCATTTACTCTTCACAACAGTCCTTTTCATTCATTGGACAAATGTTTGTTACTTTGTCTGCCAGTCTCAGTGTTTTAGGTACTTAGGATGCACAGTGAACAAAAGAGACTTGTTTTTGTTCGTGATTGAAAATAAGTAACTTTCCTAAGATCCACAATAATCTGTGTGCATCAAGAGCCCAAATTTTACCCATTCAAGAATTCACTAGGTTGGGGCATGATATAGCATGAGCACAGTACTTCTCTATTGCTGTAGTTCCCTCTTGCTTATTCCTTTCACATATGTGGCATTAGCCTATGTGTGAACCTTTCCTCTCCTTTATGGGAGTCATAGAAAGCCTGCTTGGTCTTTATTGTCTTTGGCAGCTGGGCTCATCACACAGCTTTCGAGAGAGAGCACTTCAGCCTCCTCATCTTTAAGTCAATTCTTAATTGTTAAGCCACCCCTCCATCCAAGGCACCTGGGAGCAGTAGATCTCCTTCGGAGGCAGTTTTTCCCATTGGGATGTGTGGCAGTATCTGGAGACATAATTGATTGTCACACCTTGAGATGGGTGGGGACATAGATTGCTCTTGTCGTCTAGTAGATAGAGGGCAAGGTTGTTGCTGAACAACCTACGAGGCACAGGGCAACCCTCCACCACAAAGAATCATCTGGTCCAAGATGTCCTTGGTAGCGAGGTTGAGGAAACTGGCCTTAGGCCTTTCTTATCATATTAACTAATATCAGACTTCCCCCCCCCAGAACCACCCTCCTCAAGGTGCGTGATGTGGTCAGCAGCCACGTGGAGCGCGTGCTTCAGGTCTATGAGCAGCACGCAGACACGATTGGCCTCGATGCTGTCTTACAGGCTTCAGCTGCGAGCCCCTCTGTGGCTGAAATGTTGGCGTGGTTGCAGGACATTGAGAGGCATTATCGGAATTCATATCCTTTGCACACGTTTCACAGAGCTGTTCCAGGAAGTCGTTAATTTCAGTTTTTCTCCAGATTACACAAAAATACATAGTTTAAGTCAGTTCTCTTTGGTTCCTGGACTTGGATTCCTCCTGCATTCCTTTGTACAGTCATTCCTCAAATCATTTATTGAGCAGATGCTACCTTCCAGGCTTTGTTCTAGGTGGTGGGAGATAGGCATTAAAAAAGGGAAAATGTATACAATGTCAGATGATATTAAGTGCCTTGAAGAAAAATAAAGCAGGGAATGGGGAAAGCAAGGGTTAAGGGTGGGCTTGTAATTTTAAGTAGGGTGGTCAGGGCAGGCCTCACTGAGAAAGTGGTTTCTAAGGAAAGACGTGAAGAGGGTGAGGGGAAGAATCATGTGGATGATTGGGGGAAGAGTGTTCCAAGTAGGAGTAGCAAGTGCAAAGGCCCTGAGGTGACAGTGAGCGTGGTCCGTTCAGGAAATAGCAAGGCAGCCAATAGGGTTCAAGCTGAGTGAAAGGGGGCTGCTCTAACAGGTGATGCTGTCAGGAGACAGGGCTAGGGCTGGTAGGGCCTCCAAGGTCTTTGGAAGGATTTGGGCTTTTCTTCTGAGTGAGACTGTAGAAAGTTTTGAGTAGAGGAGTAATCGGATCAGACTATGCAAAGGACCAGTTAGTTGGAGTCCTCTACCTTTTTCTCTCCAGTCTTGCCTGATAGTTGCATCTACTCTCTGGCTGGAGTTTCTACCTTAATTTATTCTTGCCTCTAATTTTGATTTTCAGTTTCCTGCAGCTGCCTCCCAATTGAAATCTCATGGAGAATTGGATGGAGACCCAACCCCACCCCACCCCCCGCCCCCACCCCATTCAGCTCCCTTTTCCTTCAGTTGTAGCGTCAACCCTGTCTGATCACCTAGTCTGTAAACTTGAGGGTTGTCCCCCCATGCCACTGTTTGCTAATGGCATCAGTGACAGCAGCAGCGTGGGCAGTGAGAGCAGTAGCTGGAGCTGCCCTCACGGAGCACTTACTGTGTGCCAGGGGCTGTTGTAAGGGTGTTTGCATTCCACTGTCAGATCCTTCCATTGTTCCTTGGTGTTTCTCAGAGTTTCCTTCTGTATCCCCACTGCCTGTGCCATAGTCTCTCACTTGGACCCTTCGTCGCATGCCATCTCTAGGCAGGTTTCTCTGACCCTGGCTTCTTTCCTTAGAAGGAAGAAGCTACCTCCAGGTGGTGGCCACGCTCTACAGATTTATCTTCAGGAAGTCTTGTTCTGATCCTACTGGGTAGGACTTCTCCTTAGCTTCTTCTGTCCCTAGGGTGAGACCCCCCACATTGGTCTGTGTTTTCTCCCTCCACCTGCCTGCTCAGCTGCTTCGCCTGCCCCTCTACACGCTATTCCATTCTGCACCTCGTTGGAAGATGTACTGACCTGAATCCATTCTGTGCTTCCCCTCTTCTTTGTCTTGGTTGAAGCTCTTCCTACCAGCCGGAATCTTCCTACTATCCTCTGAAGCAGTGGTTCCCCAACCTTCTTGGCACCAGGGAATGGTTTCGTGAAAGTCAGTTTTTCCACAGTCAGGGGTGGGAGGGATGGTTCAGGTGGTGATGTGAGCAGTGGGGAGTGGCAGATGAATCTTTGCTTTTGGACCACCGCTCACCTCCTCTTGTGAGGCTCAGTTCCTGACAGGCCACAGATGGGTACCAGAGATGGGGGACCCCTGCTCTAAGGGGGATGAATTTATCCTCTCAACTTCTGCTGAGTTTTATCTCCTCTCATTTAGAGTCTTTTCAGTTTCTGTTTTGTTTTTTCTCACCATAGTGAGATCACAGTTTGCAGGGGCAGTGTTTCATCCCTTCCCTGTAGCCCAGAACCTTGTGTATAGAGGGGCTCTGTAAAGATCTGCGGCAGAGGTGAGCCTGCCCACCTGGTAAATATAATGATAGCTGTGCTTTTGCTCTTCTAGCTCCTAGGAATGCTCTCAAGTGTATTTTCTTCTTTCAGCATATTTCATTGTCTTCTTGAGCACCTTCCTTAACTCCCAGGAAAGTACCTGAAGAGGAAGTACCTCCTGTCCTCAATCCAGTGGGAAGACTTGGGAAACATCCAAGCTTTGCCCAGAGCCTGGGACCGAATCTCAGAAGATGAACACCCGGACCTTGTACGAGGTGCTGGTTTTCATGTATCCCTTCGTGTCTGCTCCTCTCCTTTCTGTGTCTAGGCTCTATGGAAGCATGAAGAATTTCCCCCTCCTGGTGCCTCTAGCTTTTACAAATCTGGTGTTTTGTGTTTTCTGGAGAGCTGGTATGCCACATGTTCTCTCTCTTCCTGTTCTAGATGTCCTCTTGAATGTTTCCTTCTTCCTGGAAGAGTGAAGAAGCCGTGTGTTTATCGGGAGACTAGAGGGACACAGGTGAAGACCGACATTGCTGCCCTCTGATATGTCTAAAGAAATGTCAGTACGGCGTCCTGACTTACTGGAAGTGTCAGTGCCCAGCACCTGAGGACTGGCTCTTCAGAGGATTCTGCTGGACATTCCTGATGTTGGGGCTGCTTCATGCTGGGTCAGGGGTGAGGGCACATGGTCACCCCTTGCCCTTTCCTAAGACTCAGGAGAGTGGACAGAGGCAGAGAGGATGCAGGAAAGGCGGTGCAGAAGAACTCCAGGGACAGAAGCAACAGCTACAGAAGTGGTGAGGAAGGAAAGGGCCGGGGTAGAGTAGGCTCCACCCCCAGCATCATCCAAAGCCCTGAGCCTCGTTGACCCCAGGGCCTGGTCTCCTCTCCTTTTGTCAGTACCTGACTCCTTGATGGAAAAAAGTGTGGCTTTGATGATTTAAAGAAGTGGAGGTGATGTTGATGGAAAACTCATTGTTTTCCAGTTGCAACGGCTCCTTATCATCAGGACACTTTCTAGAGTCTTCCACCAGGGGGAGGTGGTGCAGCATGAATTCTGAGTGTTTTGTGTTTGGAGCTGTTCCTTGTTGCTCTTACTGACAGTAAGTAACTGGGGATAGTGGGGCTCTTAAAATAACAGGGTTTTCTTTTTACCAAAGCCAGCAGCCAGTTTGCTACAGGCCCCTGATCTTGGAGTAGCTGCATGGATGGGAGGTCACTAGCCCAGAGTCAGGCAATCAGGATTGTGTTTCTGAGGCCCAGTGCCTTCATCTGTGAAATGGTCATGGTCCTTGCAGACCTGTCAGCTTCCTGGGCTGGTTAAAAATCTCGGTCAAAGTGAAAATGACTTTTTAAGTTACAAAAATGATGATATGCTTTTTAAGAAATTATAGAAAAATTGTGGAAAACATTTAAAATGTAGAAAAGCATAAAACGAACTCTATCAGATATTTTATATGTATCTTTTCAGCGTCCATAGTCACAATTTTTTTAACAAAACAATTTGGGTATCATTGATACATACTGTTTTTCAAATTGTCTTTAAAAAGCACCTTTATATAGTTTGGCTAGTTTTTCATATCTCTCTGAATATAGCTCAACACAATTATATATACCATTCTATGGATTATTATAGTCTTATGTTTTACATGTATTTTTTAAGTCTTCATATTTTTCTACCTGTGCGTGCATGCTAAGTCGCTTCAGTCGTGTCCAACTCTTTGCGACCCTATGGACTGTAGCCTGCCAGGCTCCTTTGTCCATTGGATTCTCTAAGCAAGAATACTGGAGTAGGTTGCCATGCCCTCCTCCAGGGGATCTTCCTGACCCAGGGATTGAACCCGTGTCTCTTGTGGCTCCTGCATTGCAGGTGGATTCTTTATAACTGAGCCACCAAGGAAGCCCATCATGTATATAATAATTGTAAATAATCTTAAGGCCTTTAGGTATTAGGTCTTATGATGTACTCGGGACAGAGGTAAAGGAGAGCCCAGAAAGATTTATAGTTCAACCAGGGAAAGATTTAGTGTTTCTCAAGCTTGAGTTCAGTTTGGTTCAGTTGCTCAGTCATGTCCAACTCTTTGCGACCCCATGGACTGCAGCACGCCAGGCTTCCCTGTCCGTCACCAACTCCCAGAGCTTACTCAAACTCATGTCCATTGAGTCAGTGATGCCATCCAACCATCTCATCCTCTGTCATTCCCTTCTCCTCCCGCCTTCAATCTTTCCCAGCGTCAGGGTCTTTTCCAGTGAGTCAGTTCTTTGCCATCAGGTGGCCAAAGTATTGGAGTTTCTGCTTCAGCATCAGTCCTTCCAATGAATATTCAGGACTGATTTCCTTTAGGATTGACTGGTTTGATCTTCTTGCAGTCCAAGGGACTCTCAAGAGTCTTCTCCAACACCACCGTTCAAAAGCATCAATTCTTTGGTGCTTAGCTTTCTTTATAGTCCAACTCTCACATCCATACATGACTACCAGAAAAACCATATCTTTGACTCGATGGACTTTTGTCAGCAAAGTAATGTCTCTGCTTTTTAGTATGCTCTCTAGGTTGGTCATAGCTTTTGCTCCAAGGAGCAAGCGTCTGTTAATTTCATGGCTGCAGTCACCATCTGCAGTGATTTTGGAGCCCAAGAAAATAAACTCTGTCACTGTTTCCCCATCTATTTACCATGAAGTGATGGGACCGGATGCCGTAATCTTTGTATTCCAGGCCCTGATGCTGGGAAAGATTGACGGCAGGAGGAGAAGGGGACGTCAGAGGATGAGATGTTGGATGGCATATAAATCACTGATATCTTGTTAAAATTTAGCTTCCTACTCTGTAGGTCCAGGGTGGGGCCCTGGACTCTGCATTTCTAACAAGGTCCCAAGTGATGCTGATGATCCAGGGACCAGACTTTAAGCTGGAGAGATTTACATTGTCATACAATAGTGAAAGTGTATTTGCAGTCAGAACAGTTCTGTGGGAGGATAGAGGTGACAACCAGCTGCTCGGGGGGCTGCTGCACAGTGACCGTGACATCTCAGGCAGGCTGCGAGGCTTGGAGAGGAGTGCAGGGTGCTCCACGCCCGGGGACAGTGTGATCACAGGCAGTGTTTGAGAAAGAAGGGAAGCTGACATCTGCTGGGGGTTTGTTGTGTGCGGGCACCGTGCTTGTGGCTTGTACACCCTGGAACTGGAAGCATTGACAGCTGAGTATAACTAGTCACTGGGGTCCACAGGGGGGTGTAAGAGAGGCAGGTAAGGGGTCTGTAAGGGCAGGCTGGAATGAATTTGTGAAGAGCCATGAATACCTTGCTCAAGAGTATGTATTTTGCAGATGGGAGTTGCTCATCTGTGTATGTGTGTGTCTGTGTGAGTATAGTGAAGAGCTTGTTAAACCTCATTTAAACAAGTAATCATGACTGTGAATAGCTACAAGTATGTTTATGGTGCTAAGTAATAACTATGTATTATTTAGGTATAATTGATCCTTCTTAGCCATTCTTATGGTATTAAATTGCTATCCTTCTAGTTGTTCTTTTTTAATTTATAATTAATTTGGTTAATTTTTTAAGTAAGTGATATGTTCACATTGTACAAAATTCAAAGGGCACAGGTGCATATTCAGTGAAAAGTTCCCCTCCCCCATTACTCAGGCCACCTCGCTGGAGGCAACCAATGTTAAATGTTTCACGTGTCCTTCCAAAAATATTCTTCACCTCTATGAGCACAGGGGTGGGTACCCTCCAAGATAGCCCCAGTGATCCCAAGGACCCACATCCTTGTATAGTCCCTCCCCCTTCAGTGTGGGCTGCCCTTACAGATTTGCTTCTAATGAACAAAAAACGGTGGAAGTGGTGGGATGTCGTTTCTGGAAGTAGGTTGTAAGGAGAGGCTGTGGCTTCCATTGAGGGCGCTGCCCCTCATTCCCTTGGGGGAAGTCCACTGTGAGGCTGGGAGGCAGCCCCATGGCGACCTCATGTGAGAGCTTGATGCTTGCCAGAACCCTGCCAGAGCTTAGAAGCAGACCTTCTCCCCAAGCTGAGCCTTTAGATGAGCCCACAGCCCCAGCTTAACAGCTGACTGTAATCTCGTGAGGACCTAAGCCAAAGGCAACCCAGCTCAGCTGGGTTGACCCATGGAAACAAGATGTTTAAGTCATTTGAGTTTGGGGGTAATTCGTTTCACAGTGATAGATGACTTATACAAGCAAATATTGTTGTATTTTCTCCATAACTTCCTACAAATAGTAGCATGCTGTATATCCAAGTTTTACACCTTGTTTTTTCCACCTCCTGTATCTTAGAGATCATTCTTTATGAATATGTAAAGGGCTTCCTCAGTTTTTGTAAGAGCGCCACAGTTCTCTGTTGTGCGAGTGTAACATTTATTTAGCCCCTTTGTCGCTGTTAGTTAGTTACTTGTGTCCAACTCTTTTGTGACCCCACGGACTATAGCCTGCCAGACTCCTCTGTTCACGGAATTTCCTAGGCAAGAATACTGGAATGGGTTGTCATTTCCTTCTCCACGGGATTTTCCTGACTCAGGGATCGAACCTGCGTCTCATACATTGGCAAGTGGGATGGGGGGGTGCTTTTCTTTTTAACCACTGAGACACCAGGGAAGCCCCATTTAGCCCCATACTGGTGGCCATTTAGGTTGTTTCCAAAGCCTTAACACCTGTTAGATTTTGGCAGCCTTCTCTCTCATTCCCACCACTGCTCATGGTTTTTTCCCCTGGAATTTTCAATTAGCTAATACCACCCTATCCACTCTCCCACAGTAAAAAAAAAAAAAGAATTGTTGATATTTTTACTGGAAGCATATTAAATTTATAAACTAATTTAGGGAGAATCATCATAGTGGGAATCCTAGCTCTCCTCCTCCAACCATGCCACTGGCTCATTGGTTGAGATATCAAATGTGAGTTCTTTTCTCTGTTTCCCTCAGGTGGGGAAATAGGCTCTTGGTGTTCAGAACCCTCTTCCCTGTCGGTGAGACAATCTGTTGGGATGGAATGAAGAATTTGTGTTTCTTTCCTGCCCCTACCCCATCCACCTTTAGCATGGACTTCAGGACTCTTCCCTCAGGCAGAGTAGGGCATCCTGACTTCCCTCAGGATGATGGGGGCTGGGTGCCATCTCTAGCTTGTTCAGGCACTGGGGTGTTTGAAATTCCTTCTCCCTGTCAGAAGGCAGGGAGAGCGCACATTTGGAGGAGCAGATTCAGGGATGTGGGGAACGAAGCTAGGATGCTGACAGCCAGCTCAGGGGAAACCTTGCTGAATTCAGGTGGCCCGGACCAAGCCTCAGGTCAGCCTCTGACCAGCCAGGTGATCTTGGGCAAGTCGTCTCCCCTCCTCTGAGTCTCAGCTTCTTCACTTGTGCCATAAAATAATGGTGTATGTCCTTACTGAGCTAGGCTCAAGCCCACAAGTGAGGGCTTGTGGGAAATTTACGAACATTGGAGGGGGATGAAATTCACTTGAAACT